CATCTAGCCAAATAAAGGCTCTTGGCCTCTTCCTTACATAGTAAAGTGACAAGGTGCATATTTAAAGCTCTTCATAGAAGATACAAACAGATTTAATAAGAGAATTATGAGATGCACCTATGTGAATTTATTGCCTCGGTGGAATGTTTGCCTTTTATTTTTATTGGATTATATGATATTGTTATTTCTACAGTTTTATTTGTGAAAGGGAAATCATGGATTTCATTGTTAACTTTGCGGGGTTCAGTGAAGTGGCTATAAGTTTAAGACAATTAAATATGGATAAAGACTGCAAAAGGTTATGTGCGGGTAAATTGCTATTCAGAAATGTCCCCCTTCAAGAAGCTTTAACAATACTGCATTATAGAGACACCTGCTGGACGATGATTGTAATAGCTTCAACTGTCTGAATGCAAATCCTCCCAGATACAGAGACCATTTCCAAAGATATCTCCTCTGTGTGGATAGTTGCTTTTTGATCAACTAAGCATTCATGGCATCCCTGATTGGGGACAGCCAGCCAAAAGGGGGGAAAAATCAGTAAACCATATTTTGGAACTTATAATTACAAAAATTCTGTGCTTAACATAAGACCTTGACCTTGTAAGCCCTCACTCGCATAAGGGTAGTGTTACATGAGGGTACAGCTGTGGAAATAACTGATTTTTCCAGCTTGCTGGCTGTACCAACAAATTGGCCGGGGGGGACAGGACACAGAAGATTTAGTTTTAATTTGGGGCTTTTTTATGTTTCTAACTTTTTAAAAATACAATTGAAACATTTCTAAATAAACAGTCATTTTGAATTGAAAAATCAAAACATTGTTTTGATATTTTTGAAACAAGTTTTCAATTTTTCTGGATTTTTTTTACCAATACAATTTCTTGAATCTGACACAAATTTTTAAATTATTTTGGTTGACCCAAATCTGAATATTTTGGTCAAAAAAAAAAAAGCTTTGAACAAAAAATTTCACCAAGAACTGCTCATCGGTATAGTCCAACTGAATGAATAAGGCTACTTTTGTAAATAAGGATTACTCATGTGACTAAGGTTTTGCAGGATTTGACCCATGTAGTGACTTTAATACAATCTCAATATATTTTCAGTTATAATTTTTACACCTAAATTCAAGGTCACACATTTTTCTAGACAGCTTGAAGCCAAACAGTTTTAACATGAAAAATCAAAAAATTGCTCTTTCCCAATCACATAAAGGAGGATAATTCTCAATGTCTTAACTTGATCAAGGCACTATCAGTGAAGTTCCAGTGTTTCTATATTTTTAACATAGAATCTTACTGATAGGTGAGAACTTGTTTTTGTCTAGGTTAAAAACAGAGAGGTTCCAGGTTTCGGCACCTCAATAAATGGCCTGATTTCTGAGGTGTTTATCTCACACATTTCTTGGTTGGGTTCTCCAGCAGAGATGGGACCAAACTGTGTCTTAACTATTCTCCTGAACCATATGCTACAGCTCTGGATACTATATAGAAATAGCTGGTTAAAGCAGACAGAAACAGGAGGGAGGAGCTCTCACTGCACAAGCCAAGGAGGGAGAGCTATGGAAAAGCACTGCTCCTCCAAACCAAGGAGAGATGGGGGAGCTCTTCCTTTGAAGAGAGGGTGCTGCATTCCCCTGAGTTTCCTCTTCCTTTAACACATGAATATTGCATAGTTCATGAACACAATTAAAATATGGCTGGGTCCCCTTGACAGTGGAAGGCTGAACTGTGTGTTAAACATGTCAGGAGTCTGCAGTACTGTAATGGGGTTCCCACAACATGACAGGTTTTACTACAGAGTCCTGCTCCTCTTTGATGGGAAATTGCTTTAAAGCCAGCTAGTCAGATTTTACATTAATTCTTCAACCCACTTATAGACCAAAACATTTTTTCCACCACCTATCAAAACACAAGGGAAAAAACATTCTCGTCAAAGGAAATTAATCACTGCATAATTCTTGCAAAGGCTTTATATAGACTCCCGCCTGCATGAGTTGTAGCACTAATAAGCATAAATAAGCACTTGGTCATGAATAGGTAAATTATAGGCACAGTATTTCACTCCCACTGACATGTTGTCACAGGCCGGCTGGCCGTTTAAGGGGCCTTGGGTTAACTCCACCTGTGACTAATTAGCTGCCTCCCAGGAGAGATTGTGAGGCCACGGATGAGCTGATAGCTTGAGGATCACCTAGGCCTCATAAAAGCCAGTAAGAGCTGCAAGACATAAGAAAGCTCTTGTAGCAGTGGGTGTGTGTGAGAGAGAACCTAAATCACATATGAACCTCTGGAGTATAGTCCTGCATTCAGGCTTGCTTTGACTTGACTCGACTTGACTCAGGCCTGTGTGGTGTAATCCTCTAGAGAGTAAATAGGCCACTGCAGGAGACCCTTGGTCGGGGGGAAGGGGCATGACTGACACGTTAATTTTGTGTTAAATAGCTTTATTTTGGAGGGGGGAGAGTTTGGGGAAATGAAGCTCTGAAGAAAAGGGGACTGGAATGCTGTGGCTGGAGAGTGTCCTTTAGTGTGTAGGCTGAGTTAGCTTGCTGATTTACGCTATCCATTTCTAATCCCAAGAATAAAAACAGCAAACACTTACGTCTGAAAAGAAATGTCTTATATACAATTCCCTTTTTCCTCTCCCCGCACCATGCAATGTTTTGTGACAGCAGTTTAGAGGACAAACAAGCACACAGGCATGAGAACTTTTACAGGAGTGTGGGGTTTCAAACAGGTCCACCTTATTACAACATTTGCTGGGCAGCAATGCTGTAATTATGAATGCAATACATTTTTTTATTGCATTGCCCCTTTTTCATTTTCACTAAAACTCTTTTCCAAAACTCTTATTCTCTACAGAAAGGCGAATGAATAGGTAAAATTATTCCATCTGCTTTTTGAGTGTTGTGAGGGTGGAAAAAATGCGGTAAAAACTATCAGACCCTTTATTCCCTACCCAATAACTTAACAATGGCTGAGCTTTAAAACTTGGCATTTGAGGAGTCCATGGTAAGGTATTCATCTGTGATATATGAAAAATAATTTGATTGAATAAGCAATTGAAAAATCACATCTGAGCGCATCCAGTGGGTGGCTGCTAGGATTTTTATTTTAAAGGGAGATTAATGAGGTATTACACCTTCTCTGACATGACATGGCACATTCTCTCTGGTCATTCTGACAGGCAAAGGACCAGCTGCTTGAGTAGTTTGCATGAGGGAGTTTGTAAATGGTTCACTGAAAAACCCATGTTCCATTATATCAGGAACAGGATGAAATCAACCATTATCATGGGCATGATGACCCATGTTTACACATCAGTAACAAGTAAATTGCTTTATTTGTTGCACATGGGTAGTCAGACCCATGACCTACAAAACTATAAGTAGATTATATCTGAAAGCTATAAATCTAATGTGTTTTATGTACTGGATTTATGAGTGATGAGTTGATGACATGTTGACTTGTGAACTAATGTGAATGGGCCCCCTTCTACCACATACATATGAAATAAAGTTGTGTGTGTGTTTGTGTGTATATGGCCAAACTCTACAAAAAGGAGAAGCTGCCCTTAAAGAGACACAGGAAAACACAAAAATGAGAAGAAGCAGGAATGAATGTACATTACACAATGCATATTTGCCCTGTGGAATTCACAGCAGGAAGATATCCTAACTGTTTGCCATAAAAGGTCATTCACTGATGTAATCAGTCAAGGTGAAACTGATCACAGAAGGAGTTAAGATGTCATACAATCACTGCATCCTGAAAGTCGTTAAGGAGGTGGAATGGGTTACCTCACGTTATTAGCCTTATGGATTCATCACCTTCCTATGTGGGGAATAACTTATACTAGTGTAACCAGTCCCCATCAGGGGAATTTACCATTTTTATATCTGTATAGTAGTTAAAGCAGTGTAACTTGTGTGTGTAGACCAGCCCAGTGCATGGTAAGCTCCAAGCAGTCAGTTTCTAAGTGTGAGTGTATGTGCATTGGAGGAGAAGTAGAAGCACTAGAGCTGCTTCAGGACTGGGCAAAGGCGACTGGCCTGGGGTTTCTCCCTATGTGCTTTTTGTTACCATCCGTGTTTCAGAAAACAGCATAAATGTACATTTTATAAATAAACTGAACTATGAACTATTTATTTTATAAATAAATAAATTGAACTTATTCCATGTCATCGGTTTCTGATCCAAATAGGAAAATGACCTAAGCCCCTGAAAATCTGCTGCTACTCACCAGAGAAGCAACATTATCAATAAGTAAATAGTTTAACAAGAAGCAAAATTGGATTTAATTTTGCTTCTTGTTAAACTATTTACTTAATTATTCAAAATTGGATTTGATTTTAACTAACTAGTTTTATTATTTATAGGTCCTGAAAACACAGAATTATATGAATTTCTATTCTCAGCTTTCCTAAACGTGTAGCCCTCAGGGTGGGGGATACAAACTGGAAAACGTGATCTCCACGGAGGGTTGCCACCTGTTCAGGTTTTACCTGGAGCATCCTTCTGGGTTTTCGCAAAAAGAAAAGGAGTACCTGTGGCATCTTAGAGACTAACTAATTTATTTGAACATAAGCTTTCGTGAGCTACAGCTCCCAACAATGTTTGAAAACCAGGCAAGCAATAAACCAAAAAAACCCACCATTTTATTACCCGCCCTCCCCCCGTTTTATAACCAATCTGATGACGTTGGGGCCTGACCCATGCCTCGCAGCGCGGGTGGCCACAAGAGAGAATTGCTCGCAGAGCCCGGATAGAACGAATGAGACTACCCGCCCCAGCAGACACTGCGAGCCACGTGCCGGACCAGCTCCCTTTCATTGCGCGCATGCGCACTAGGACGCGGACGCTGTTTTTGATGACGTTTAAGGCGGGGACGCACCGTCGCTCACGCGACGGCTGCCGGGAGTTGTTGTTTCTATGGAGTCTGCGGCCCTGCAGCGGCGCTGGGCAGGGGGCGGCGAGCGGACTCCACCTCCCAGGGGGCCGCGCGGGCGGAGCGGGGGTTTCCAAACCTCTCCCTGGCAGAAAGGGAGCGTCAGCAAACGGCCCCGGGTGCGGAAGCCGGGCGGACAAGCGGCAGCTTGGAGCGGGCGGGCCCGAGCGCTGGGGCAATGGCCGGCGAGATGACGATGCTGGGTGAGTGAGCGGGGCTGGGGGCCGGGGCCGGGGCCGGGGCCGGGGCCTGTGCCAGGGGCGGGGGGAAGAGTCCGGGCCCCCGGGCTCGGGAATGGGCCGCTGTGTGCCCGGGGGAGGTTCGCTGCGGGTCCCCGCTCTCGGCTCCCCCTTGGCCCCAGTGGGCGGCCTCGGGGGGCCTTCGCGGCAGGGAGGCTGGAGGCTGAGCTGCTCTGCCAGCCCCTCGCCTGCGGCCAGCGGTGGGGCGGGGGGGAGCTTGTAGGGCAGCAGCGGGCCCTATGTAGTAACGTGCACAAAGGAGCAGCAGAGTTGATGGATGGAGAGCGGTAAATAGGGGTGTTCCCCCATCTGGAAAAAGATAAATTGGAAAAGGTTCGGGAAAGGGCAACAAAAATGATTAGGTGTATGGAACAGCTGCCATAGGAGGAGAGATTAGTATGACTGGGACTTTTCAGGTTGGAAGAGAGATGACTTAAGGGGGAGATATGGTAGAGGTCTATAAAACCCTGACTGGTGTGGAGAAAGTAAATAAGGAAATATTATTTACTACTTCTCATAACACACGAACTAGAGGCCACCAAAGGAAATTGGTAGACAGCAGGTTTAAAACAAACAAAAGGAAGTATTTTTTCACACAACGTACAGTCAACCTGTGGCTCTCCTTGCCCCAAGACTATCACAGGATTAAAAAAAGAACTAAGTAAATTAATGGAGGATAGGTTCATCAATGGTTGTGGGCAGGGATGTTGTCCCTAGCCTCTGTTTGCCAGAAGCCGGGAATGGTTGATGATTACCTGTTCTGTTCATTCCCTCTGGGGCATCTGGCATTGGCCAGTGTTGGAAGACAAGATACTGGGCTAGATGGGCCTTTGTTCTGACCCAGTACGGCCGTTCTTATGATAACCTTTTCCATCTGTCACAGGTTTGTTGCTGATCTCCTTCCTGGGGATCCATGTGGAGAGCCCAGTCTCAGTGCCTTAATGGTCAATAGATCCTGAACATGGCACGTTATGGGGTTAATAGTAACACTCAGGGTTTGTCTGCCTTTGACAGTTCACATGGATTAAGCTAGGGCAGAGGTGGGCAAATACAGCCCGTGGGCCACATCCGGCCTGGCCTTTGAGCTCCCGGACGGGGAGGCTAGCCCCCGGCCCCTCCCCTGTTGTCCCCCCTCCCCTGGAGCCGCGCCGCTGAGCGGGCACTGCTCTGGCCCACCGCTATTGCTGGGCAGCACGGCTTGCGCCCTCCCAGGCTTTCCAATAACCCTGTCCTGCCGCTCTGAGCGGTATGGTAAGGGAGCAGGGGGAAGGGAGGGTTGGATAAGGGGCAGGAGGTCTTGGGGGACAGTCAGGGGACAGGGAGCAGTTGGATGGGGTGCAGGTTTGGGGGCGGTCAGGAGACAGGGAGGGTTGGATGGGGGCGGGGAGTCCCGGGAGGGGGCGGTCAGGAGACAAGGAGCAGGGGGGGTTGGATAGGGGGTGGGATCCCCGAGGGTCAGGGGACAAGGAGCGGGGGGGTTGGATGGATTGGAGATTCTGAGAGGGTGGATAGGGGGCAGGGGCCAGGCTGTTTGGGGAGGGACAGCCTTTCTTACATGGCCCTCCATGCTGTTTTGCAACTCCAATGTGGCCCTTGGGCCAAAAAGTTTGCCCACCCCTGAGCTAGGGTGTAAATTTAAAGCACAGTAGCTGTTTCTGGTTACCTTCATGTGTGGATTCTCATTTTGGAAAAAGGATGGCTTGTTCCTGTTTAGTTTAACCCAAGTGGGTAAGTCAGAAACAGTTCTGTGTAGACATGCCCGTAGTCTTAATTCTTGCCTAATCCTGCCGTCAGAGTGCTGACTGGTACAAAAGTCTGTTGTTCTAATTGTATTTTATTTATTTTGCTAAAAGCTCTTCCTTATTTCTGATCTGTTACTAGCGCTGAGCTTTCTTTTCATATGTAAATCTTCATGTAACTCTGGCCAGTCAATTCACAGGGATTTGTATGTATTCCTGGTCATGACCTACATTTGGTTACAGCAGTATGGCTTCAACTTCAAAAGGTTCTCAAAGACTATTTTGTCTCGTGCTTTTGCCTGTGACATGTCAGAGATGTGGGACACTGAATTTGAACATATCTGCCATAAACTGTCAATATTTTCAAGTCTAGGCATGAAGCTTATCTTCTCAAATTGGCTTTTCCGGATACTTATGCCTGAATCATTTCTGTTTGTGACATATCCATTTGGTACAGGTCTTATACAGAATATCATAGAGTATCATAGAATATCAGGATTGAAAGGGACCTCAGGAGGTCATCTAGTCCAACCCCCTGCTCAAAGCAGGACAAATCCCCAATTTTTGCCCCATATCCCTAAATGCCCCCCTCAAGGATTGAACTCACGACCCTGGGTTTAGCAGGCCAATGCTCAAACCACTGAGCTATCCCTCCCCCTCACTCCAAAATCATTCAAACATAGAAAAGAAGCATAACTGTAAAAATAAACAAACACACAATTCCTTTCCTATCTGTCAGAAACACATGTTAACATCATCTTTGCCCATTGATCCTACCTTATTGCTCCTATCTTTAAATCCCTCCACTGATTCCACTTTGTGCAATTTATAGAACATACATTTCTTGTTCTTGCATTTGAGCCCAGGCCTTGACCCTACCCAGCTCGCATATTGGGTCTCTTCTCTTCTCATGTATCTTGGCTTTGTCAACAGTTTCAGCCTCACCTCTCCCATCTCTATGCCATCTTCCATGCTGCCTTTTATGCTTAAAATAAAGTCCCAATACTAGAACATCAGGCTGTTGCTCTCTGGAAGATATGACTAGTCTTTGACTGACATGGGAAGCTCATGTTTTGTATGTATATTTATATTGACAGTCTTCAAAATAAGCAGGAGAGCGAAATAGAGAGATGTCATTTGAGCCATGGACTAGTAGCCAGGAACTCCTGGGATCTTACTCTGGCTATGTCATTGATTTGTTGTGTGACCTTGAGCAATTCAGTTAGCCTCTGCTTCGTTTTCAGTATCTGTAATGTAGGGATTATACTTACATACCTCACATAGAAGATGAGTATTTATTATTATTTGTAAATCACTTTGCAACATTATTTTGTTTTTTTGATTTACCATTCCTTTCTTTAAACTTTCACAAATCTTATGTCCTTGTCTGTTACACTTCAGTGGCTAGTAATTTGCCTGAATTGCCAGATGCAAGCTTGCTGCTGACTTCTGAGGAAATGAGACTAAGCACAAAGCAGTTTCACAATGTGATTTCACACTCTAATTTTACATCAGAGTAAATATATACTATATATATACTAAGATATATACTGAGTGGAATCAGTGGAGGGATTTATACACAACAGAGTAATATCATGCTGGCTGAGTGATTCATGGCCATGAGTGTTACTTCAGGGTAGACTGTCAAAAACAGGGCAGAACACCCCAAACTGGTGGCATGTTCTATAATTAGATTTCATCAACTCAGTAACAAATATGAATTCCTGGGCCACTGTACTAGTCTTACTGTGGAGTGTCAGACCATCCCCTCGGGCTCTCCAGTCTATTTTGCCATCCACGCAAGCTGGATTTAGTGATAAATGGTCACTTACATAAAAATCACCAAATATTCAGGAAAAAGAAAAGGAGTACTTGTGGCACCTTAGAGACTAACCAATTTATTTGAGCATGAGCTTTCGTGAGCTACAGCTCACTTCATCAGATGTATACCGTGGAAACTGCAGCAGACTTTATATACACACAGAGAATATGAAACAATACCTCCTCCCACCCCACTGTCCTGCTGGTAATAGCTTATCTAAAGTGATCAACAGGTGGGCCATTTCCAGCACAAATCCAGGTTTTCTCACCCTCCACCCCCCCACACAAATTCACTCTCCTGCTGGTGCTAGCCCATCCAAAGTGACAACTCTTTACATAATCAAGTCGGGCTATTTCCTGGTTGCTTCCAGTCCCAAGAGACCGGTCAGCTACCCCTCATTATCTACCCTTTGATCTTACACTAAAGACAACACCTGTAGCCAGTCCCATAATAAACTATCGAAAGGCTTATTACCTAGGAAAAAGAAATAAGAAAGTTATTTACAGGTGCTACCAAGCAAGCAAGCATACCATATATGGTTGATAAAGATGACAGGGATAGTAATCTGTCAATTCAGTTTCAGGGCCCTGGAGATCTCTGCTTTAGTTAAGTGTCTCTGACCCAGTGAGAGTTCAAACAGAAAAGAAATGAAAAATTTTCTTGTAACCTTATTTTATCTTTTACATTTGGCCCTACAGTCCATTTGAGAAGCTCCCTTGCATGTAGCATTTCCAAGGTGGGATAGGGCCATTCGCCAGTCCTTTGTATTGTGATGTTTCTTAATGGCCTGTTTAATCTTGATAGGTTTTCTTAATGTACAGTGGGGGGAAGAGACGCACAATTCCCGTGCCTGCGTTCACAAATTCAGAGCAAACATTTTCAAGGTTATAAAGTAAAACTTGTGTATTTCCCTACAGAATGGAATACAGATACTACAAGTGAGATTAATACGTGCAACAATTTACAAGCATTTCATAGTCTAAACACTAAATATATTATAATACTAATACCTGTTTTGAACAAAACCAACATACAGGTGAGCTGGTTTGGCTTCCAGCTACGAGTTTGTCAGTTCTTATGGCCTTGGCCAGAGCTGGCACTCAATTTACCACTGTCACAACTAGTATTATAGCTATGAAGAACTTCCAAATTTGTTTGGATGGATGCTCTGATACTGTCTTTTTATCGCTCTCACAGGTTCAGCTGTCTTGGCCCTTTTGTTGGCTGGTTACCTGGCACAACAGTATCTACCTATGCCTACACCAAAAGTGATTGGGATTGACCTTGGCACCACTTACTGCTCTGTTGGCGTGTTCCTTCCTGGCACAGGGCAGGTGAAAGTTATTTCAGATGAAAGTGGGCATAACAGCATACCAAGCATAGTGTCATTCACAGACACAGATGTGTACGTGGGATATGATGGCCTAGAACTAGCAGATTCTAATCCACAGAACACGGTATATGATGCCAAAAGATTCATAGGGAAAATCTTCACTCCAGAAGAGCTGAAAAATGAAAGTAGCAGATATCCATTTAAGGTAAACAGATAGCAATCTTTACCAATTCTATCCAAATTAGTTTTATATATATGGTGTTCAGAGGGAGCAGATCCAATTGCCTTTGTCTGGCAGGTTGATCATCAGGATGCAGAACCCTGAATGTAGCATTTCAGGAACAAAATATGGTCTTTGTGAGGTGGGATCCAAACATAGAAATTGCAAAAATTTAAAATAAAGATAAAATAATAACATATATTGTACAGGTATTTATTCTTGATTAACTTTGCATTTGGCTATTATACCTATGTTATTTTTATACCTATGATACTGGACTGTTTTGAGGCATATGAGTTTGAGGCAGAGAGAAGTGGGATGGAACTTGAGCAAAACAACTGGTTTCACAGCAGAAGGAAAAATCTGAGAGAAGAGTATTTGGCAATGGGAGTTGCTATGTTGGCAAATGCCAAATTTGAATTTACTAGATGTGATGGTTTGTGGATACAGTACATACATGATCCTCTTCTGTTCTGAGCAGGAGGGTACTGAAACATGCAAGAATCTTCTCTCTGAAATGGAGCCTCCCTCTTTATTGAATACATTTATTTTTATTAATTCTAGTTTATACAACAAGAAATGCACTACAGGTAGAGAGTTTCTAGGGTACTAATCCTTTCCCCCCTCCTGTAGTTACTTGAGTATTAGCCTTGTTTTGTCACAACGCACAGAGTAGGACCTTATCTGCTGATACTGTATAAGATGTAAACCAAAATAGTGTTTTTCAGTAAACTTCAATTGAATTGTAAACATTATGTAATACACAGCTTTCATAGTTCTCAATGCATTTTTTTCATGATTATGGATAGCTAGTCTTTTACACTTACAATTTCCCAACTAACTAATGTGGGTCATTACACAAAGTAAAACTATTTCCCCATGTTTATTCCCCTCCTTTCCCCCCCCCCCCCAAGTACTCCTTTTCATTGTTTGTCTTTTTTTATGCAGTTCATTTATAATTATAAATGGACCTGAAAGTAGCAGTTCTACAAACCTGTCTTTCAATAATGGTGAAACTAGCACAATAAAATACTTAACAATGGGTACTAAGTCAGGCATTGGAAATCATTCTCTTGTCTCTGCTAATAGTGGGTGCAGGGAGTCTGCATAAAATAAATCTTCAGTGGTACAGTAGCACTCAGCAACTCCTTTGATGTGGACTGAATAAGTACCTATATACATGCGTGTCTGCTGAGACGTCCTGTATAATTTCTGCTTTAGCAGTAGAGTAGACCTAGGGTTTGCCTCAAAAGAACTGTTTTCATTCCTTAGATGTGCTGTTGTGTAGGATTATTAATTCTGATGTTGTGTGACCCAGCTTCTGGATTTTGACTCACTCGTCTATTTTGCCCAAATAGATCAAAGTACTGTAGGCACATTTTCTGGCAACTTGAATGCCTTCATGTCATATATCATTCATAATGGAAGGTAAAGAAAACTGGTTCAGATAGAATGTTTTAGGCTGGCAAAGCCACCACATAGTAGATTCTGGAGTAAGCAGGTATTCAACATATCCAAGTACAGTTTCACTCATTCATTTTGTTTAATGAAAGATGGGCTGTGTTTCACACTTGTGGGTTTTGCTGTCTGTCTGTCTGTCTCTCTCTCCTCTCCCCTCCCCCCCCTCAGATTTTCAGCAACAATGGAGCAGCTGAATTTTCAGTGACAACCAATGAAACATATAATGTCTCACCTGAGTATATTGGCTCTCAACTGCTATTGAAATTAAAGAGGATGGCAGAGGAGTACCTTGGCATGCCAGTTTCTAATGCTGTCATTTCAGTGCCAGCAGAGTTTGATGAAAGGCAACGGAACTATACTATTAAGGCAGCTAACCTTGCAGGTGATGCATCTTTCTTTCTGGTATTTTCCCCTCTACTCTTTGAATTACCCTGAGGTTTACTCATCTACACTAAGTTGTTTGTGAAATGTAGAATAGCAACAGAGAATCAGTGGCAATCACCAAGAACAGCAGGGAACTCTCAAATGATCTGAAGTGCTGTTGGCTAATGCAAGTACAGATAGCAGTATGCCCAAGTATCACTAAAGGAAATAGGTTTTTTGGAAATTTTCAATTCGAGAAAATTATACAGGAAACTTCATGGGAATAAATCAGACTCAAAAACAAGATAACAAACCATCCCACCCCACCTCACCTCACCTCCTCTGAGAAAGCACACTGAGGTAACTGTTCAATCAGTTTTCATTCTGATAGACTGCTCTAAAAGTAAATTTAAGAATGATATTCCAAGTTTATCTTAAAAACAAAAAAATGAAAGCTATGGCAGATGTAGAATTCCCTGTGAACTTCTCTTAAATGTCTTATATTTTACTTCAATCTGAACAAAAATTGACACTATTTAATGGAATATTTTCATAGAGTTTCTGTTTAAACATACAGTAGATTCCACTTAATAGCAACCCAGATATAACAGCTTTGGTTCCCAACAAAATGTTGCTACTAACCAAATCACGTCCCATTGACGTTTCTTTCCTGGTTGCAGCGCAGCAAACCTGCCTGTGGACAGGAGGTAAGGGGCTGTGGCCTGGGAGAGGATGCTATGGGCAGGGCAGTAGCAGAGAGGGAGAGCTGTAGCCAGGATCCTGGCACTACGCAGCATCTCTCCCTGTGCTTTCTGGATTGTGTCCTGCCAGGGAACTGTACCCAGGGGAAGAAACGCTGGGAGATGCTGAGCCTTGGAGAGCAGAGAGAAGAGGTCCTGTGCAGCTCTTTGGCCCCAGATAGAAAGCCCCAACTTTTGCACTGCAGCCCCTTTCTCTACTGCTACCCTGCCTGCAGGAGGTTTGCAGGGCTGCAGTGAGGAGGAGAGGTGCAGCTCAGTGCTTCCTTCTCTGGCTGCAGCCTTTCAAACCTGCCTTCCACTCATTGGCTATTGTTGGACAATGCCAGCTTTTTGCTGGCAACTGGGCTGGGTTACTAATAACTCTGTGTAGTACAATAGATTCCACTCATCAGTTGTGTGGAGAAAATGTTAACTTGTTTTGCTTTTTCAGGGTTGGAGATATTACGGGTAATTAACGAACCTACTGCTGCAGCTATGGCTTATGGTCTCCATAAAGTGGATGTGTTTAATGTTCTGGTAGTGGATTTGGGTGGAGGAACTTTGGATGTCTCATTATTGAATAAACAAGGAGGGATGTTTCTGACACGAGCGATGGCAGGTAAGGATAAGTCACCCTATACTTCAATGGAACATGTTGGTTTTTATTAAGTTAAAAACTAGTTCTATATAATTTCAGTGGATACATGGAAAAAAATCACCTGTAAAGGGATGCTAAATTGACATGCTGAGATTGACATACCTTAGAACTTTAGGTGGCCTACTGGTCATTTATCAGAATGTTATTTCTACTCTCCATAATTCTAAAATTAGGTTTGCAACTGATTTTAATTAAGAGAAATTCTTCCATTCTTTGGCTGATTTTAACATAAGAAGCTGTGGTCTAGTTTTCTGTCATTGTCACATTTGTGCACAGGTAACCTGAGCATTTGTGCGTTTACAATTACTGTGCCTGGAGCTAGTGGCGTTTCAAAGCATTCTACTACCTCCATCTGTCTGAGTCAAGGGGATTTGCCATATTATTGAAGGGTGCCTTAGAACAGTCCCCTTTTGTGCTACGCTGTAGTTCAGACATTAAGGGGTGGAGAGCTCACACACGGTCAACCCAGAAACAGGTTTTGTAACACAAATATGCCAAACTGATTCATCACTTGGCAAAGAATTCTGGCAGCAATGCTTTGTAAACCTATGTAGTGAACACAGATTGCTTTGCAGATGACCTGGATTCAGACAGATCTGAGGCTGAGTACTATTGTTGATATTCCCGACTCAATGGGCTTTGACATCTGCTGCGCTGTCTAGTGAAAGCAAAAGAGTAATAAATGCAGTCAGCCATTTCAACATGGTTCTGTTGAACAGTATGAACTCCTTTTTTCAGTTGAAATAAAAAGATGGACTGAATATTTATGGGTATTGCACATTCCATTGGAAAACTCAAGAGGCCAATCTTATGAAGAGCAGGCATGGGTATCCGAAAACTGTTGGAAGGATGGTTAAGGTGGAACTAACACATTAGGAGGGAAATTGGGATGAGTGCACTATTCCACTACATACCTATAAAGCCTAGTATAGGATGGGTCCGTTACCAGAGCTTGAAGCTCACTGATCAAAGAGCTGAAATAACTCCTACTGGGAATCAGCGTTTCCACAGGAAGAACTTGACAGAATAGATACCTTATGGCTCAAAAGTAGCCTTTATCGGTGCACATTAATGTCCCTTAGTATATGATTTTAATATGAAGGCTCTAAAATACAATAAGTCCTTAACAAAGTTCAGCTCCAGGAGTTGAGGCAGTAATCCTTCATGAGTTTCATCTTGCTGCTATTAGTGAAAATGTCTAATATGGGCAGAGATGTAGACAGTAACTAAGACTTGGAGTGTGAGTTGGGAATATGGAAAAGATTGACTTGCATAGTATCGCAGCAGGCTGCAAATATTTTCCATTTCAAATTTTACATTCTGCGAACCAAACCCCTTCCTAGTGTTCTCGTGGACTTTTTTTTTTTAAAAAAAGATACTTCCTCTAAAATCCCCAACCCCTTGCTTTTTCATTTATGCATATTGAAACAGAGAACCTGAGACCATTCTTGTCTTGTTTTGTGAATCGCATTACAAACAAAATATCCCCAAGTGATTATACTTCTGATTGTGCCATTGACTGTTGGGACTATAGTTGTGAACGTTTCTTTTTCCCAGTCCCATGAGAATGTCCTGCACATGACATAAAGGGCATCTTTGTGCCTTCTGAAATACTGTGTATGACCTGATATATTTTTGTATGTCTTAGGTAACAACAAACTTGGAGGACAGGACTTTAATCAGCGATTGCTGCAGTACTTGTATGACCAAATCTATCGAATGTATGGCTCGGTGCCCTCCAGAAAGGAAGAAATACATCGACTTAGGCAGGCTGTGGAAGCAGTCAAGTTAAATTTAACTCTACACAAGTCTTCTCCTGTCATAGTCTCTCTTACTATGCCAGAAAGGAAGGACCTAAAAGCTGTTTCAGAAGAACAGATAAAAAAAAAAAACGTAATTACAGCCAAATCTTCACAAATGGAAGACGGTATGATAAACCTTTTAAGGGATGACCTTTCACAAGCACAGAGCCACACTGTGAAAGTTGTTTTTGAAACACAAATCTCAAGAAAACTATTTGAGATGTTGAATGAGGACCTTTTTCAGAAGATCCTTGTGCCCATTGAGCAGGTGTTGAAGGAAGGACATCTACCCAAGACAGAAGTGGATGAGATTGTATTAGTAGGAGGCTCTACACGTATTCCCCGGATACGCAGAGTTATTCAAGAGTTCTTTGGAAAGGAACCCAACACCTCTGTGGATCCTGATTTGGCAGTGGTAATGGGTGTAGCTATCCAAGCTGGGATTGTTGGAGGGTCCTGGCCCCTCCAAGTCAGTGCTGTAGAAATTCCTAATAGGCATTTACGAAAAACTAACTTCAACTGAACTTCATTGTTCTTGTCACATTCCATTATTCACTGTTTCAAAAATCTACTCATGACCGTGCATAGACTTACCCAACAAACATTGAAACCTTGTCTTAGCCATGTAATATATACCTTTTTAATTCTGTTCCATTTAAGTGTTGCTAGACCATTTATTGTGTGCTGGCTCTATCATGTTTTAAAGGTACTAGCAATTCAAAAATAATGGACACACACAACCCACCTCTGCTCCATTGGTTTGTCGTCTGGATGTGGGATGAAAACCTGAATTGATAGTTTTGAAAACCTGCTACTGCCAATAAAATGCACACATTTTCTTGCTAAATTTTATTAGCAGACCCTGAAAACTCGAAAGTGGAATGTAATCATGAGCTTGAACCTGTGGTGGAGATCGTATGTACTGTGAGATGAGGTGTAGCAGTATTAATGCAGACAGCTCAAATAATGTTCAGCTTAAATTTATTTATTAAACTGATTCAGTTGAGCACTTCAAAGCACCTTTCTAAATGCAATTTTCCTGTTTTGAATACTGTCTATTTGTCCACTTCACTTAAGATTCTTGTGCTGCTGTTTATAACAGCACAGTGTTATTGCTGAAACTATTTGTGGATTTGTCGTCTCTTTTTAATGTAGACTTACTGCGGTCAAAAAAAATTAAGAATTTTTTTAGCTGTTTCATGCTGTTACTCCGGTGTCTGCTTTAAAATGCATTTTCCTAACGGATTCCTATGATTCAGTTTGTCATCAGCTAGAGAGGCTGCTGTGGTCCCTCTGATGTTTCTCCAGTGGGCAGACACCTGATAATACCATCATTACTGTAGTTCCTGCCATGCAGCTAAAAGATTTTATAAAGCCAATTTTATATTAAATGAAAAAAGCACATTAGGCTCTGGAAGGGTCCCATTCAAGTTCTTCAACCAGTACATCCCTACCATGAAATGCGTTGTTACTCAACTAAGAGAATTGCTACAGCTTCTTTTCATTAACTTTCTCCCTAAAAATAAAATGAATCCCAACTATTTTTACCTGGTGCCTATCATGTTGGTGTCTACATGTTTTCAGGTTCCTGATGCTTGCGCCCACTCTGTGAAGTGAACATGGAGTGATAATTGTGAGGTGTAGTCTGGTAAAGAAAAACCATATAAGTAGCACAGGAACTGGGATGTAAATGTAGTAATATTGCAGCCTTTTGCTTTTGATAACGGTTTTGACTACTGGCGGGTTAATAAACACAAGGAGCAGAAGTTGACTCCTACAGTCTCAACTGTTGGAGGAAGGTTTTAAAGAAACTTGTCTAATTGTGTTCTTTTTGAAGGGATAAATTGAAATACTGAATAGCCAAATGAACTCTTTTTTTATATATGTTGTTTTATCCTTAGTCAATGAAGAGGGTATTATCACCTAACTAGATAACTAAGCAAAATTTGCTTAACAAATCTGAAATGAGTTGTATTTTAAATGTGAGATTTAATAGCAAAATATTTAAAATGAACAGTTATCTGCTACATTTTGAGACTTTTCAGTAATAGGCTTGCACTTAGTAGGGCAGACCCATTCCATCAAAACAGTGTTTTTTAAACTATTTTAAAGTGGCCTTGTCTCTGAATTTGTAAAGTATCTCAGATGATACTGCTGGTAGCTTTTGACCTGTAACCAAGGAACACCAAGAAGCTTTCTGTATGGAGAAAGAAAAATAGCAGAAATTCTTTTTTATCAAGGGCCCTCATGCCCTGTGTTTATATGGGTCCTATTGCAACAAGGGGGGAAATATTTTAATAAGTGGTTGTACAATTACAAAAATTAGCAGGGGTGGGTATGTAATTCTTGAAACTACCTTTTCTTTTTTTTTTTACACGAATGACAACCTTAAAGTTGAAGTCCCTTCAAAGAAATAATGGACAAATATCAGTATGCAGTACAATTCTCTCAAATAATATGCAGATGCTATTTCAGGCCCTTCTTGTGCAAATACTTCTGTGTTTACTTTGCATAGATGCAGAAATCTCTGCAAGAATTAGGACTTACCCTGCTGTAAGTCTTATTCATAGTTTTTTTTTTTTTTTTTTAAGGGTGTTAGAATTGCAATTGGTCTTAAAATGCTAATTTTTGGTACTGTATTTTGGCACAAACCACTGAATTTTAAACAAAACAAAATATTGTACTTTGTATATTTTCCCCAGTGCACAACTTACTATCAAGGTTCTTCATTTAACTAAATGCCACTGTTTGTAGATTGGAGTTCTGTTTTTATGACTAGTCCTATTTAAATCTTGATGCCTGTAGCCCTATACCACCTAACTTTACTTAGAAGAGTTTATGTAGCTGAGGTTCAAGGGAGTGCAGTCTTGGAAGTGGTGATGCCTTGTCAATATTTTAAAATCTTGTCAGTTTACAGGTTGACATGTATATCATCTGCATTTGGGGAAAATGTCATCCTTCAGAGATATTCATATACAGCCTTTTAAAATACGTTCTTAAATAAAGGTAACTGCATCTGCCCTGACAAACTTTTGTTTCTCTTTCCTTGGGACTTCCTTTTGGTCTGAAGCATTGCTGTTAGAAATGAAGCAGAACTAAGGGCAGGGAGAAGGAAGTGCACCAGTGACCTACAAAAGGTGGTAATATGGGCTAGGAAAGTGAAGGAGCAGCTCTAAACAACTTGATTTATCTAGAATTGTTGTAACCCTTTTTATTAAATCAATAGTGACAAATACGGTTACTAGAAACATGCTGTAGAAATTCTGTATGGTGCAGATTTGGGCATTCCACAGACATTGTCCAATGAGGTTTCTAGAAAATGAAATCTAACTTTGCTGGATGTGGCCTCTTAGTAAAAATATTTAACCTTCTCAATATTAACTGCAGGAGTATTTCTCCTCTGGAGCAGTGGTTCTCAACTAGGGATCCGGTGGCTGTGAGCAGGTTCCAGAGGGTCAGCCACCCGTGGCAGGCATTCGACTCACTAGAGCCCTGGGCAGAATGCCAAAGTTTTGCCAGGCAGGACTGCAAGGAATATTGCAGCGCCCTGAGCCCTACCACCTGGGGCTGAAGCCTGAGCAACTTAGCTTTGCGCTGTTCCCTGGGCTGTAGGGCTCCAGGCAATTGTCCAGCTTACTACCTCTTAACACTGGCCCTGGCTTTTATATACAGAAAAACAGTAGTTGTGCCACATGTGGGCCATGGAGTTTTTATAGCATTGTCACAGGGCGGCACAAGTTTCCTTCCCCTTGTTGCTGTGCAGGGGGCTTGGGCTGGCTAAAGAAAGGGTCTCAGATGTCTTTGGCAGGTGCTACACCTGTGTTCTTTTATTTACAGTGGCTGTACAGTCCCAATTCCCCAACACCTGTCCTCGCTCTGACCCCTCACTGGGTCCTCTGGCCTTTGAGGCTTGTATCAACCAGCAAAGACAGAGCTTCAGCCCTCCTATCTTCCTGCCTGGCTCACCTCCTTCCTGAGCTCTTCCCTGGGTTTATAAGCCTTCCCAGTCATCAATGCACCTGGTTCCACTAGGCTCAGCAGATGGCACTGAGCCTGCCCTCAGTAGGGCCTGCAGCTGGGCTCCCTGCTAAGGGTCCTGGCCCATACACCCAGCCACCCTCCAGGAAAGCAGGGGGAAGCTGGCTCTTTAGCAGAGCACTCAAAGGTTTTATACCTCTGCCCTTCGACACACCTTCCCCATTTAATGAGCCACCAGGCTCAACCAGCCCTGGCCTCTTCTCAGCTGGACATATTGGCCCTTCAAAGGGGGTTCATTTACCACGGCTGTGGGTTCCTGCGGGTCCTCCCTGGTGTTCTTTAGGTGCTCCCCCCCATCTCTACAGTAGGGGCAGGTCTCCCGCACATGGCCCTTAGCCTAACAAAGTCCACAGTCTGAGTGTTTCCTTGTCGTCATCGTCCTCCTCCTCCCCCCCCCCCCACCCCGGCCCTCTCTCTAGCATGGTTGGGTGCTTAGGTACCCTGACTCCAGGGTCAGCTGCAGGGCTCCAAGTGCCTTGCCTTTCTTGGGCTCACAAGGGCTGCACTCCTGGCCCCCCTTCGGGGGGGGGGGTGTCCTTCATTACCTCAAAACCAACATTTGGTGCTTTCTTCCCACTGCTGTCTAGGAGTTCTTGCTACTTTTGGGGGGGGTCTACCAGCCCCCCATCTCCCTTCTCCTCCTTAATCAGGTTCTCCCTTCCGACTTCCTGTCTTGCAAGAAGGGAGTCCCCAATCGCTTCCCAGCAGAACTGGGTAGGGTAACCTCTCCACTAATCCTACCTGCTACCACCAGAAGCATCCCTGAACCTCCAGGGGAACTCAGGCTATCTGGTAGCTCCAGGTATCCCCATAAACACACAGAAGGACTACCTTTAGCCCCAGAACCATCCAGCATGTCTTCAGCCTACCCTTACGCACCAGTGAGCGGGTGGAGGCAGAGTCCACCAAACCCTTTCGGGGCTTCCTCCCCAACAACACGGGTATTGTGTTTAAGGGCTGATTTCCTGGTCCCTCCCACCCCCCAGTCCACCTGCTAAAGTCCACCAGCCCACACTCCATTTGAGGGCAGTCCTGTTTTTTATGGCCAGGGCACCCGCACTGCCAACAGGTCAGCTCACAGCTGCAGGTGGGCCCGGGGTCCGCCCCACTCTTGGGTGCAGATTCCGGTGGACTCTGTCCAGGTCCTGCTCCCCAAATGGGCTTCACCACCCTTCTGGGTGCCTCCGCTTCAATGTACTCTTCTGTCAGCCAGACTGCATCCACTATGTAGGCCAGCTGATGTCGTCAGACCCAAATGCGTACTGGGTCCAGGAACTCCTGGAGAAATTGATCCAGGATCATTATCTCTTCTGTCTGGGCCGTGGGCCTCAGTTACCTAGTGGCCCAGTCAGTCAACTTCTGGGCAAATGCCCTGGGCCTCAGGCTCTCCATCCAGCAGGACGCCCAAAACTGCTGCCAGTACTTCTCGGTTGAGAGTCCAACCCTGTCCAAGATAGCAGCCTTCACAGTCGCATAGTCTTTGGCTTGGGTCTCTCCCAAAGCCATAAACGGCACATGGGCTTCACCTCCCAGGTATGGGGCTTGCGGCAAGGCCCAACTCAAACTCTCCCAGCCTGCTGCCGTAGCCACCCATTCAAATGTCCCCAGAAAGGTGTATGGGGCCCATCTTACAGGGCCCCCATCCTGCTGTCATGGTTCTGTCCCCGTTCGCCAGACTCACCACCTGCTGGAGGATCTGCTGTTGGGCCACCGACTGCTCCTTGATGAACTCTTGGAGGGCCTGATTTTTGTCCCCCTGCCACGCCATCAGGGCCTGCCTTTCCGTCTGCTGGGACTGCTGCAGCTCCTGCACTGTAGTAACCAGCCATTTCAGGGTCTCCTCCATACGAGCAGCCACTGGTATCGATCGCTAGGAAGAATCCCGGACAAGCCCCCACTTGTCACAGGGCAGCACAAATTTCCTTCCCCTTGTAGCTGCATCCTGTGCTTGGGCTGGCCAAAGAAAGGGTCTCAGATGTCTTTGACAGGTGCTCCATCCGTGTTCTTTTATTTACAGTGGCTGTACAGTCCCAATTGTCCTCGCTCCGACCTCTCACTGGGTCCTCTGGCCTTTGAGGCTTGTATCAGCCAGCAAAGACAGAGCCTCAACCCTCCTATCTTCCTGCGCTCTTCCCTGGGTTTATAAGCCTTCCCAGTCATCAACCCACCTGGTTCCACTAGGCTGAGCAGATGGCACTGAGCCTGCCCTCAGTAGGGCCTGCAGCTGGGCTCCCTGCTAAGGAGCCTGGCCCATACACTCAGCCACCCTACAGGGAAGCAGGCTCTTTAGCAGGGCACCCAAAAGTTTTATACCTCTGCCCTACGACAAGCATGTTGGGGGGGGGGGGTGAGAATGCCTGATCTGGAGTCTTATTGACACCATGGCACTGCAAATGCATCACTGAGTGACAATTGAGAAAAGCAGACTTTTGGATGACCAATTTGAATGTGTATTAAATTGTATAGCTACTCTAATCAGTATTTAAAAGTTCCCTTTGAATGGCTTGTATTAGGGCGGCAACTAAAGGCATAGAATTAAAATACATATCCAACATGGGGGGGGGTGTTTTTTTTTAAAGTGAACAGGAGTTTTCTTTCTGCTAAACTATCAATGGACTGATGGACATTTAATAGTGCAAAGAATAAAGCTTTAGGGTTAGAATAAAGGTGTTGTAAGGATTTTGATGTCTAAAGGCCAATCTGAACAGAAGATTTTGGGAAGCCTCACAGTAACCTCCTGCTGGGTCCCCCCGTTAAGCCCATCTATCAGAGCTGAATATCAAAAACTACATACACACCAAATATAAAAGCCAATAACAGTTTATTTAATTAAGAGAAGAGGAAGGGAGGAGAGGGGAATGGATTAACAACTCTGGAGACTTGAGATACCACTTACACTTAATGATACAGATAGATGTTTGTTTACGTGGAAGGTGGCAGGATCCAGATGACCGAAGCCAGCGATGGACTGATGAGCTCTGACCGTGGACAGCAAATGGAATGGACAGGTATGTATGTATCCCTATCTTAACTCCCACCCTATCCCGCTTTGTGTCGTCTGTGTGTGTAAGATTGAACTAACTACTCAGACTAGGTCCGTGCATGCCACTCTGCTTTCCCAAATAAAAGCATAAACAAACCCAAACCTATTAGTAAATAGCTATTGCAGGCCAATAGCTACTGCCAAGATGGTACTGCAGTGCGAGGAGAGCTGGACACTTGAACCTCTGACCACTTGAAAGCTCCAGAGACCAAGTGTGTGCCTAGCTCCTCCCCTCACACACTTTTATAGGGAGCTGTTGCCGGGCAAACCTAGTGTCCCGCCTCTGAGATTTCCCACCTTTTCTTGGTACCAAGGAACAAGAACCTGACACAAGATGGAGGTTACCTTGTCCTATTACCAAAATAAAATGACCCTTTAAGTTACAGATTTCAATAATTTGGCAGAAGTAAACGGGGTTTAAAACCAAAATTAACAGTGTATATATCATTAAAGATCCAGGTTTTTACACGGTATCAATTGCATATAATGCTTGTTGCCACATTTTCACAGGCCAATGAGAAATGAATAGTTTGCACCAGTTTTTTTTTATTATTATTATTATTATTATTAAACAAAGCATATCTGCGCTGTGGGTACACATGGAAATTGTCTGGACAAGGTTCAGTGCTGGTAGTTGGCTGAATGTTGTTTGTGGGTCCACTTCCTATGGAAAATGCAAGTGCTCCTTTTCTCTAAGCAGTAACCGTCTATTGCTGCTGTGCATTGCAGCACTTACACTGAAATGATTCATAGTCTATCTGCGCTGGAGCCAAGGTTGTTTTGTGGGAGGGTGAGGCAGTACAACACAAAAAGCCTGACAGGTTGGAGGCAGAGATGCTTAACCATAGATGTTAGGTAATACATAATGAGACAAAAAAGAAAAAGGAGGACTTGTGGCACCTTAGAGACTAACAAATTTATTTGAGCATAAGCTTTCGTGAGCTACATCGGATGAAGTGAGCTGTAGCTCACGAAAGCTTATGCTCAAATAAATTTGTTAGTTTCTAAGGTGCCACAAGTCCTCCTTTTCTTTTTGTGGATACAGACTAACACGGCTGCTACTCTGAAAACTGACATAATGAGACAGTTATCACTCTTAAGTTAGTCTCATTAACCCCTTTTCATAAATGTAACTGATGTCCCAAACTAGGAGAATCTGATGTGTTTGGCTCTTCTGTGGTCCTTATTAGCAGCATATGAGCATTTCTCAGATACATGAATGTAGTCACTCATCTTGTAAGACAGAGTATTCTCATCTCACAGATGGGGAAATGACGACACAGAGAGAAACTGAGTTTCTCAGACTTACTAATGAAAAGTTTGGTAGAGCAAGCACTAAAACATATAACTTCTAACTCCAGTCCCTTAACCTCAAGGTAAGCTTTTCTCTTTGTCAAAGCCCTCCATCAGCATTTGGTGACCACCAGAGAGAAGCCTGCCCATGGTAAATCCTCTGCTCTTGTTCAGCAGAAGGGAGAGGAAGGAAAGCAAAAATATTAAATGTCCTTCAGAGGAGACACATTGCAGGGCATTCCAGACAGAGGGCAGTTCCCTTTCAGCACAGCTGACGTTACCTTGTATCAATGATGGTTGGGTCTCTCTCTACAGGAGAGAATGCCAGCTACAGCATCATATCCTTCCCCTTCCTCAGTCAAGGTCTTTTCTAAAATAAATATTAGGGTGGGGGGTATCTTACTGTTATGAGACTCACACATGATAGTTTTTCTACTACACTGCCTTCCTCCAGCAATGGACTACCTTTTTCTGTCCTCTGCTCCCTGGGATCTTGTTAAGCAACATCTCTTACTTGTGATTTATTGCTACAAAAGACAAAAAGGACAAACTTTTTTTTTTTTCCCAAATTGTTCAGTCTGTCTTTAAGGAATGTTAACACTGACCTGATAGTTTCAAGGGAAATAAACCTTGTACCTTGTAGTGGCTGTACACCTCTTAATAACCCTGAGAAAATAGGTAATGTTCCACTTCGTCCCTAAGTCCTTAGCTTTAGAGAAGCATGGTACTTGTACATCACTTCCAGACTTCATTATTTATTTCTCACTGCAATATTTTCCATCTTATTGTTTGCTCAAACATCTTTGAACATGCTCTTGCAAACTAGCATCACTTGAGTTTAAAAATAATTCTTTCCACCTGGTTCATTTAAGTATGTAGCTTCTTTAGAAGGAAGATAAATTCTATAGAAACAATTGCCTTGTGTTAATATTAACTTCCCTGAGACGTTAAATGCAAGTGTGTGCTGCAGAAGTGGGCAATTATGAACACCCGTGTTTAAACAGAAGTTTGTATGTTTATTTTTATTTTTTAAAAAGGCACTACCAAGAAAGGAACTAAAGGCCTCTTCCCTCCCTGGTTTCATTCTGTCATACTCAAGTTTCTAAATACCAAATAGGCCAGATTCTTGTAGTTGTCTTAATAGAACTCAGGACTAAATTCAGGTGAATGAAGGTGCACCCTCTTGCGCCAGCAGTGAATTGGGCCTACAGTTTGTAGAAGCAGCTGGGTTGAATTATGTCAACACCATCAATGATGTTTTACACACAAATAGCCTGATTGTTCATACGTAAAACAGAAGGCTGGTGCATAACATAGATCTTTTGAAGAAGCTTAATTCTGAGATTATAGCCAGTTGACAATCTCACAAAAAAAAATCTATTTTAAAAGCAGAATCGCTCACCTCATACAGAAGGCAAAGGCTTCAGCATGAAGGCTAATCTCTGCCAAAATTAATTTAGCTTCACCATAGCTACTCTATCCTAATAGTTTGGTGCAAGCTCTAGCATATTAGTATATTTTAGGGAACGGTATTATATACAGCTGGCTATTATTGTCAGGGACAATACTGTACCTTTGAGATAAATTAAAAGTAGCAGGTAATGCCTGGGTCCTTCACTTACCCTTTTTTCCTGGGAGAGGCCCAAGCTACCACCAAAACAATGAAGCTGATGACTCTGCCAACATGACCAGAATGGTTGTTCTACTGGTGGATCTCCAATGGGAAGTACTGATCACTCTTCTCTGCTATTCCTTGTATGGCTGCTGTGACAGGGTGCCTGCCTCAATTTGATTACCAGGAGGCAGAGTGTTCAGTGCCTACTTGACCTCCTACAGCGTTTATGCTACAGTAATGAAGCTGGGCTGGGGCCCAACGCCTAATCAGGAGAAAAATCAAGGAGCTCTGTAAAAGTTGTTCCTCGGGTGGTACTATAGACCTTAAAGAGTACAGTTTTGGACAGCGGCTAGTTTGGTGTCGGACTAGGTGAACACCAATGTGCTCTAGCTCCACCTGTGTGCCTCTCAAGAAAATAAGGCAGGTAGGAGATGGTCCATAAGAACATACAGGTACCCTGCTTCCACAGCTCAGATACCTCAAATGCATGCATAGGTTCTTATGGGGGAAGTCAAATGACTTCTCAAAGCAGAACTGTATCTGCTCCATGAATGTCTGAATTAGCGCAAAACACCATTTCATTTTTTTCTTGGGTATTCTTTAGTACGCATTGTATATTCTTATGGAAACTTTCTTCTCTTCCCTATACCTTTTCACCCAGTTTAACCACAAAACAAGGCAACAAATTAGAACCATAACTTACAGTCCTTTATATACAGAAGAATATGCATTGTTAGCATTCCCATTAAATATGAAAAGAGGGTTCTATTGCCTCGACTAGCACAAGAAAAGCTTGTACAAATGTGCTTTAAATATAAAATGAATATTTCCCAGAGGGATTTTCCTTTTAAGAATTCTGTCACAATTTGACTTGAGAATGCTCAGTTAGGTGGACAAAAATAAGTACTAATTGTCTAACTTGTCATTTATTTTAGTGTTTTCAAAGGCCATTTAAAAATATCTACCAAATATACCCCTAAAGAATTTTAAAAATATTCATGTACAGATTAAAGTCAGCACTGAACCCCTTATGTTCATAAAATGACAATTCTCAAATGAATTTTCACTAGCTCATTATTTATAACAGAGGATACTGGTTAAATCAGCATTATTTTCTAAATAATTTAAAACATACGAACTGATTCAACCAAAACAAGTGCTGAAGGTTCTGGAGTGTTAAGTAGTGTGGCTCACAAGCATTTATGTAGTCTCCAGATCATTTATTAAAGCAAAAGTCACTGTATGCTATGAAAAGCATAGCTTTATTATTTTGTAGTTCTAGTGAAAAAGTATATAAAATATTTTAAAGAAGGTTGAAGAGTGTGCAATACAGATCATAACAGTAGCAACCATCAGCTTTTATCCTACCACATGTAAGAAGTTTGTAGTGTTAAAACTACACAATTCCCCTAAACTGTGTGATCATTTTATAATTTCAAGGATACAATTAACCACACATCCCTAGAGCATTTCCTGCATTCGGAGTTCAGAATAACCAGCATTCTTGTCTTCACAAAAATAAGTTCATGAGTTATTTGTATCTTGTGTTATCCCAGCCTCAGAGACCATTTTCGAAAAAACTCCTTGCTGAAGTAATAAATTATGTGGGGTATCAAATTCTATAATTCTTCCAGAGCCCAGAACAAGCACTCTGCAATGCAGAAACAAAAAGGTGATGAGGAAAATTGAGCTATTTTTTTCAGCCATACTTTCCAGCCCTATGAAGGTGTGGATTAGGTAGATTTCCTTTTAATATGGGAAAATCTCTTTGCAGTAGATAACTCAGAGATTCATGAAGCTGTGAACTCCTGCACAAAAAAAGTTTTTAGAAAATGAAAGTTTGCCTTGTCACCTTAAGTTCTAGAGTGCAATCAACTTACTCTGGTAAATTAAATGGACTTGCTAGTAACTTGTGTTTGCAACGGGGATAAAATGGAGTTAAAAATTAATTCAGTAATTAGAATAGGAGAAACATTGTAGCACAAATATCAGTCTGTTTACTGTCAGTAACTACTACTAATATAAATATATATGTATTTCATGGTACCATAGATTATATGAGGAAAGTGTCAAGCCAGATCAGCTTTCATGCCTACCAACTTTGACAATGTCTAAATGAAACCACATGTTTTTTAAAACAATATTGAAACTTACCTTTCAGAATCCATGATAGTATGCAACCTGTGGGCTACAGTTAATACTGTGCAGTTGTGAAACTCCCTCCGGATGGTGGACTGCACTAGGTTATCGGTTTCCATGTCAACAGAGGCTGTTGCCTCATCTAAGATCAGAATTTTTGTCTTCCGTAGCAAAGCCCGGGCAAGACAGACAAGCTGCCTCTGCCCAACACTGTTAAACACATTTGAAAACGGTGTCATTTCAATAACTTTGCGAAAGCAATGCTGTGTTCCCACCCACAAAAAATGCTAGATAATACCTTGATCAGGTTATTTTGTAGAGAGAAAACAATGAGTAGGATAATTTTTCAATTGTTAGCAAAACCAGATGCTTACAATCTATTTTAGAGCACATCCCTGGTTCCATTTTCCAGATGGATGCATATTTGCATCCAGTTTCCACATTAACTTAATACCCAGTGTTATATTCATGTCCTAATTTGGACATGGGGTAAGTTTGAAAGAGACTGATACACAGCAGATGATTATTAAATTATGTATTTTACAAGGGTGGGAGTTGGTTCAGGATGAGAGTTTTAAAAACTCTTATGCTATCTTTGGAAGTGGCATGTCCCATTTTTTGCAGATGCATTCCAATTTATTAACTAACTTTCCATTTCTGCTCTGCTTTTTTAAATTTTGGATTGCCACTTTGCTGCTAAAAGCTTATCAAGCATTTATATAAATTTCTCAGATTTTTAGCAGACTGCAATGGCCTGACTCTTACACTCAGAAATTTTCTATCCTATAAAAAGTGTCACCTTCCTTGGCATATCTTTGAAATAACAAGGCACTGTAAAGAGAAACTAAACAGCTACTTAACTACACTAAGCAAATAATAGAAGATATAATACAGCGCAAACGATAAGTGTTCTCTTGGTTATATTTTGTTCCCTTTCTTTTTCTTCTTACTTTTTATATTGTTACTTTTCTCTCTGATTTCAATTATTCTGTTTGTGGCAGTCCTTTCCCTGCCTTGGACTATTTGCTCATTTCTCAAACACCTATAACAGATTTTAAGGCCAGAAAAGACCATCAGATCATCTGGTCTGACCTCTTGTGTAACATGGCCATAAAATTTCACCCAGTTACTATTTAGCTAAGTGCCCACAAATTGCTTTACAAGAGTAATTCTATTTAGAATGAGGGAGTCACTTTTGTGACATGGAAAAATATTAGAATACTGTCATGTAGAATGTATTGAAGGAAAATCAAGTTAGCACACCAGAAGAGCTCCCTAGCCAGTAGATATTAAAAATTTTATACCTGAGATTTTCACCACCTTCTGAAATCTCATGAAGGAGTTTCTTTGGGAGTGACTGGACAAAATTCTTTAAGTCACACAACTCCACTGCCTCCCACAGCTCATGATCAGAATATTTTCCAAAGGGATCCAAGTTAGATTGAAGGGTCCCAGAGAACAAGACGGGGTCCTAAGAAATAATATAAAATATCTAAGCAGTAGCATCACAAATCTTAAAAAAACAAAACAATGTTTTTCAACAAACACTCACAGGAATGTTAGGATTTTAATGAAGGTATTCTAGAAATAATACTTTTTAAAAGGCAAACTATAATATTTGAAATCTGAGTGAAAAGGCAAAACTAGCTATGCTCAAATTATTTAACACCACAAAGCCTAAAGGGGAGGGAGAGAATGGTCTAGTCTATGTCTTTGGTAAATGAAAATACATATTCAAAAATATGTATTAAAAAAGAAGAATGTGTACAGTTAGCAAAGAACATTGTTTGTTTTTTTAAAAAAATCTACTAGCTTTCTATAAATATATCCGTAGATACTGTGGGCCAGTTTTTTTAAAGATATTTGGGCACATAAAGAGGCAGATAGGCAAAAGCAGGTAAGTGCTATTGAAAATCCCAATATGTGTCTATCTGCATCTTTAGGAACTTAAACCTCTTAAGAATCTGGTTTTGTGCTTTTACATGACAAGGATTTAATATTCAATTGAAATCACCTACTATAAGGCTACTTTTGATTTTGCGATATGACCATTATTATTATTTGATTACATCCAAAGCTCTCTTTTCTTGGGGTATACCTGTTAATGAGTAACTTTGGAGTTTTCAATATTAGCCATAATTTCAGTAATAATATCCTGATTTATCTTTCCTCTGGTGAATTGGTACAAAATGGGGCCTTTCTTATAGTTACAGTTTCAGCCTTTGGGATTTAGAATTTCTTCACAGATATGCAATAGCTAATGTTTGAATGAAAGACAAGTGTCTATTCGGAAACAGATTTTACCTGTGGAATAATGTTAAGATTGCCACGTAGATCATGTAGTCCAATAGTTGATATATCAATTCCATCTATAATTATTTTGCCTCCGTCTCGCTCTATAATTCTAAACAAGCAATTTGTCAGTGTTGATTTACCAGCTCCTGTTCTTCCTACAATTCCAACCTGGAACAAGATATTAGCTTTAAAAGAAAAACTAATAATGGAGAGTTTAGTAAACTAATGCCTTCAATTTCTTTTTAGTGACTTTAAACACTGTAGATAGATATGATGAGTTATAAAAGAACACTGCCCCTTTGTCCATAGCTCAGTGGTTTAGATCCCACCTCAGATTTTCCTTAACTCTCTCACGCTTTGGTTGGGAATCATCATCAGGATCCTGACTGTCCAGTTTTCTCTGGGGTAGGAGGGAATTCCCAAAGAAGTGTTTTGTGGTACCCACTCAAAAGCTAACATTCCCATCTGCTGGCATTGCAGCAGCACAGAAATTTAGGGCCAGATTGTGACCCCCTGGCTCACCACACGAGTAGTTCCTTTGGCCCATGACTTTGTTCATACTGTTTCTGGAGATAGACTAACCTAACTATGGTTGGTGCTCAAACAAGAAATAAAAGGATCTGTGTTAATACTGCCCTCATTAAAAACATAAGTAATAATTTACCATACATAAAAGACAAAAAAGAAAAATAAATGGCTGGAAAACATTTGTTTTCATGCACCTAAAATGGAGAGCAAAAGATTATTAAAAGTCATTTTACCAAAAAATTGGCTGCATAAGTTTCGTGTGAGGCACTCAACACTTGACAGGATTGGTTTCTAATTGGCATTACTAATCAAGCTACACTATAACTTGAAACTAAAGTCTGTCATTTAAAAGCCTTGGTCCAGATCTTCGGCTTCTGTAAATTAGAGGAGTCGTATTCAAGTCAGTTGAGCTACATCAATTTACACCATATGAGCATCTGTCCCCTTGTATCTAATGTTGCTATTAATAAAACTTAGATTAAAATATACTTTTCCCATTGGCTGCGCAACCATTTAGAAAATAGTTTCACGAATTCTAATAGCTTATTATTTACATACCCAGTAAGAATTATCCTAATTTGGACTCCTTCAGTTATGCTTTTATACATGAAATCTATTGAATGTAGAAAGTTAAGGAGCCAATTAAACTATTTTTGATTATTTCATATTATGTACAATACCTTCTCTTTACTGTGCGTTTGGAAGGAGACATCCTGTAGGGCCAAATCAAGACCTGTTCTATACCGAGCTTGGTAATTAATGAACTCTATTATCCCTTTACTGGGCCATCCCATCGGGGGCCTTTTAGACATTATCCAGGGGGCCTGAAATTAAATTAACATTGTTTTAGTGCACTGTTTTACATTTTTACAAGCCACTTAGAATACTTTATGCAACCCACTTATAGTTTTAAAAATACAAGTAAACACATGATGATGACTCAGACTCAGTCCAATGCACTGAGAAGTCAGACAACTTCTTGGACATCAGGATTTTTAATTAAAAATACTTCACCAAATGCAGAGGCGTTGCATGATCCTCCTCAGTAACCAGACTCAGACAAAGATTGCACATATTCATTTAGAGAGCAACCTTGATTATTCTACCAACTCACAGGCCTGAGTTCTGAAAGAGACTCAGGCTTCCAAGGCCCTGGCTATTAATACTTTGTAATACATTCACTATTCTCAGCAAGTACAGCCTGCACCTTTCTAACAACTTTATTCATGTCTGCAATGCCACTTACTTTGAAAAAAATGCATAGGACACACTGTTCAGACTGTATCAGGAGTGAACCCATGCTAGTTAAGGTCAGGAATCACTTCGGCTTATTTGGCCCACTATGGGAAGTAGCAGTATTTGAGAATGACTGCCCTGGCTCTTGGAAGTCTGGAGCCCAAACCACTGAAGCCACCATAGAGGAGCTTAGATAGCAGAGAGGAGAGGGACATTCTGTGAAGCCAGCCCTTCTTATTCCTCAGCAGGTTTGTTCTCCTCTCATGGAAGCAGAGGGGAACACTCCAGCCTAGAATTGTGATAGGCAACTATTATTCTAGTTACAGTAATTCATCAAATATCCACTCCTACCTTGCAACTTTTGTATCAGCCTAGTAGCAAAGGTTTTGATGATGGCAGATATCTCATGCTCTGTAGTGAATGGAACATACCATGTATCGTTGCACCACTGTATATTTCTGAATTTCCATCATCGGGTGTGATTGCAACTCATGTAGACATACCCAAAGAGCTGGATTAGCAGTGAAGCCGTGACAGCATGGCTTCTTCATGGGCTGTACAAACTCCCCTTGGGTAATTACTCTGGCAACTACCCTGCACTGAAGTCCATGCTGCTGTGACTTCACTGCTCCAGTAGCCAAGCTAGCTAGCTAAACTGTCTCAGGTTCATCTACCTGAGCTGTCATCACACTCCGTGACTGTAGTATAGATATACCCACAGACAAATTCAGATAGTAGTTCATGATGAGACTTACATAAAATAAATCTTAAATCTCTATTTGTTTGTTTCTAACTACAATAGCTACCACAAAGTCTGATGTCAAGAAACTTATTGGTCAACATTAAAAATACAAAACTGTTCTGACCATTAGTGTGAAGAGAAAGTCAAATACATTAGCTCATGAATGTATCACACTTTGAGAATGTACGTATATTATTAATTATAAGACGCCATTTGTATTAGTCAGTCAATTTATTTTCTTTTTATCAGTTAGCCACTAGCTTATACACATATATGAAATAGTATCCAAATACTAAGTTTATATTCAGTCTTCTAAAATGCTCACCTCTTTGTCCATTTTTTCATATTCACAAACTCTTTCAATGGAAACTCCATTAGTTTCAATTTCACATGCTTTACGCACCCAAAAATTCAGACTTTGAGTTATCTGAAAAAGATAAGATATATTCATGAGATGGTCTAGGTTTACCTGGTCCTGCCACAGCATAGTGGGCTGGACTTAATGTCTTCTTGAGGCCCCCTTCAACCCTACATTTCTATGATTCATTTCACAGAATGTATTAAAATTGTTTGGTCTTCGTAAACAGCATAATATATTTCAGAAATGTATTATGGATAGTAAAAAACAGCATCAAAACACAATATCAGCTGCTTAGATAGTTCCAGAAGATGCAGAGCACAAGTCAGGAGTTGGTATGCAAAGCTGGCTTTAAGCTTCCACTTTCACTGCATTTATCCCAGTGTTACTCCGAGCACTTCTTCCACCATTTGCTGTGTTAGAAAAACTAGGTCAGGATCTGTGTAGGGTACAGGGCACCCTGGCTATCACCTTTTCCCCAGTAACCAAGCTCCCCTTCTGTGTTACCCTGGCTGAAAGAGGAAGTGTAGGTTTATGAGCCTGTGTTGTATGTATACTGTTGCAGTATTCCCTTTACACTGGGACAATCCTCCCTGAGCCGCTTACACAAGTATCTTAGCAGCGAGACAAAAGCAGCTGCAGTGCACCTAGGGATCAGGTCCAGAGTATCTGCCAAATCACTTCTATCCTTAAGCACTGAGAAGCTATTTTTGCAAGTACTAGTGCTACCTAGTCCAGTATTGGCAAGTTAATGCAGTGGACACTAATTTTATACGTCAATTCTCACAGTTACCATGTGATGGCTGCTCAGTTACAGCAGTACAAAATTGGTCTATATTAAACTGTTCTAAGACATTGTACATTATAGATCAGAACTAGAAATTAAACTTTAACAAAACTGGTCAGTGACACAATGGGTTAATAAACTAGCCATCCTAGGTTAAATTGTTGTTCTGAGGTAGGAATATTTAATGATGAACCTAAAGGCTTCTTAACAACAAAAAAAACAACAAAAAACAAAAACAACCACAAAAAAACATCTATACTGAGAGCCCATATTTAACCAAATGTGTATAAGATTAAAAGTACAAAAAAAAATTAACATTATTGAAAGCTAGTTTGTAATATACCTATCTGCAAAGACCTGAGTTCAGAGCTGTGATCCTTCAGTTAAGATGCCTGTGTTCTGGTGTTAAAGCTTAAAAGAAATGACGTACCCTTTCCTGTGCTGATGCAATCTGTTGCAGGGAAATCACAGAACACTGAATTCAGATCTTAGCAGGTATAAAGTCTTGTGGTAGCCAGTATCATCTTCATGGGTATAGTGATATATGTCTATGGTACTTTACCCCAAAGAACATACATTCTTAATTTTAGACCACAGGATGAGTGAGAGAGAGCGGGAAAGTACACAGGTGATAGGACCAAACTATCAAGATATTGTGGATGTGTGGGTTTTTAAAACTCTTTAAATCATAAGGGTTTATTGTCTCTCTAGCCATTAATCAACATAGGTCTAGCCCTCCTTATTAAAAGGGACATGCTTGTCAAATGTGGTCCCAATTATGCTACTTTTTTTTTCTTTTTTAATAAAATAGGCCAGTAGAAATGTTTCCATTAAATACTTCAATACCAATACAAAACTCATTTTTAAACCAACCTCTTCCTTGCAATGATGGCAACCTAAATATTTCAGCATTATGCTAGTGCACCAGAACTAGAAAGTATGCATCTGAAAACACGAGTGCAATTGACTAGACTACTTCCCTTCTCCAAGCTAGCAAAATACTAAAAGTAAGCCATGCAGTGTAGTAAGTTTAATATTTACAATTCTGTTTCAATATTCCAATATTTTGTTGTTGCATTTAAACCTATCAATATTTGAATTGTTAATAATACATAAACTTCCACAATTAGAGTAAATTCAAAGAAAAACACATAGTAGTGAGAGTACATTCTGCTCAGTTACATCCATGAGATTAAAAATTGCACAGATGTAACTGTGCAGAATTTGGCCTACTAAATTTTACCCCAATCATTCTTGCCTTCCATATGAAATATTTTAGAAGCATCAAAACTATACCATCACTTACATTCAGTGCATATGATATGGATAAACCCACTGTAGAGGAATTAATTGTATTTCCAGCCAGCACTGCAAACAAGGCAGCAAAGAAAACCATCAGGTTTCCTAAAAACTCAAGCCTGACAGCCAACCACCTGTAGTCAATGTAGCCAGGGAAAAAAAAAAAAAGGATTTATCTAAAGAAATTTTATTATGGAACATTGATATAGTAAAATATCAACAATTATCTCTTATAGCACCTTTCATCAACATGCTTTACAAAGAAGGTAAGTATCATTATCTCCATTTTACAGATGGGGAAACTGAGGCACAGAGCAGGTAAGTGACTTGCCCAAGATTACCCAATAGGCCAGTGGCAGAGCTGGAACAGTCCAGTGCGCTGTCAGCTAGGCCAGACTTCTCCCCAATCCATATAAATAGACAGCAACTCCATAAGTAAGGCAGTTTATAATTCTCCTCTTCCAGCAGCTGTTAGTAGACTTCATTGTTGTAGAATATTCTCATCTCAGAGCAAGCATATCTATCTCCTATAAATTAATTGGATTCTTGCACACAGAGGACGACATACCCTATTGCTTAGATACAAACCAGGAAGCCAGTACTAAGAGTGCTGAACAAGTTACAGTGCTTACACACATTTTAGGATTATTTTAATCTCTTAACGAGCCTGCTCCCATCAAAGCTTATTATTTTAGCCACTGATCTAAACAGGATCAGGATTTGGCCCACTGTGCATAACTTCTATAAATTCTAGATCGTTAATACAGTACCTGTTTGAGATAACATTGTTGTAAAAGCAAACCAAGTTCTCATTCACCACATCTTTGTTTTGTCTAATGAATCTTTCTTGGTGTCCAAATGCTCGGATTGTAGAAAGTCCTAAGAGAGTTTCACTGAAGTGGGAGATCACAGGAGAATGTGATGCCCCAGCTAATCGTCGGATTTGTCGTGAACTAGCTATGTAGTATCGCTAAGGAAACAACACATACAAAAGAGGCAGATTCTAAGTTACTATAAGGGTTGGAAAAAAGTTTCACACAGCTTTGAAACTTCAAGTACAATTTGTGGATTATTTTCATATCATAATAAAAAAAGTCAAACAATTTTAGCACAAAACTTTTCAAAAATTTCTCTTTAATTCATAGGGGTGGACAATGTCTGTGCCTTATTGTAATAACCAGGCATGTAAACTACTGGGAGGGCTAGCAGTAAGAGTAGTGTCATTTCCAAAATTGCCACCACTCCTGTTGCAACATACACCCTCTAAAGAGATGAACTAAGTTTTACACTGGAATTTCCTGACTTATGTTCAAATGAAGGCCCCACCTTAAGTTTCATCAGTATAATTATGTATATTCTCAAATCTTGATCGCCTCTCTGCTCCCTCATTTATATCTATTAGCATATACATTATGCTACATTATGAACATGTCTGACATCAACAGAGCCTGGAGCGGAGATAGGGAAGCCGATGTTTCAAAGGACAGTTTTTCTGACACATTAAAACGACAGTTGAAATTTAGTTAAGGGATTTCTCTAAGTTCCTGTTCCTCAATGCTATAATTCATATCTGTGCTATGTATTTTCTTGAAGCAAGCTACAAATATCTGCATGTGTTGTCCCAGGGTAGCACACACCCTACTTCAGTTTTTGCTTTGACTCTCTGTCTTTCCATATCACATGCCCATTCTTTTGTCATACAATTTTATTGGTTTTCTTAGAGGGACTACAATATAATATCTTACAAGAGAAAAAAAGATGGGCAGGAAAGAATGGAAGTCACTAAAAAATACAGGCATTACCATGGTGGATAAAAATCAAGGATTTAAAAAAAAATCGTGTTTTTTTTAATTTAAATTGTTTTTTCTTGAAAATGCTTTTTGAGGAAAAAACCTATCTAAAGATAGTTTTAATTAAAATACATGATAGCTCAAAGATATCTCATCATGGAACAGGGATTATAAATTCTAATTCTATAGTATGAGACAATATATTCATGTAATGTTTAAGAAAAGTTTTGTAAATGAGTTCCAATAGTTCATGGATTAGGGACCCAATCTTATGGGTTCCAGGGGCTTCTGTATAGATTATTTAGATTAATCTTTCTATCTACCCAATGGGACTCAGGGCTAAGTCTAGAAGATACCATCACAGATGCTTAGTTTTGCAGTTCTCAAACTGTGTATTTGTGTCTCCAGAGATAACATGCTTGTTAACAGCAAAAATGTGTTAAAATAAATAAATAAATATATAGATGTGAGAAATAACGGACCTCAACCCTATTGTCCCTCTGCAAATTTGTATACACAGAGTTAGTCCCTTACCTCTCTCTAAATGTGCAAAGTTTCATAAAGATCAATGAACAGAAGATTGTTGGGGGCAGAATAGAGCCTTCATTGATTTGAGATCTACTATACCATTCTCTCACTAGAGGGAAAACCTATAATGGCAGCAGGCCATAAAAGAGACCCAGTTTGGGTCTCATCTATCTCTGAGTTGTGAAGAATATGTATTAAGGTTGTAACAACCAACAAGAATGCACTTTTATATAGACATCCATGATTAAATCGAGTCTTCCTGACTAGTGATTTAAATCAAATCCACCCTGGGCATTACTGTAGGAAACAGTCAAAATGTATTTGACGACTCTGTATACTTGAGAGAAGCCGGAGGATATTTTTAGGAGTCAACTTTAAAAAGTGTGTGTGTGGGCAGGGAGGCAAAGATTTGGGTGGCAGAATACTAAAATATAAGTTTCTTAGGTTTCTACTTTGACTTTTCAGGCAAGATTTGAAATTTACACCCAATTGTTTTAAACAATGCTTAATGATGATTTTGTTTTAGTCTCTCTCTCTCTCACACGGAAAATACATATCTCTTATTGTAAAAATTTAAGCAACTTACTTGGATAATAAAATACAGGTATCCAAGGGGAATAACTACCAGTATGAAGAGAGGTGAAGCAGACAAGATTACTAGAATGGTTCCAATAACATCTAGTGTACAGTTTAACCAGGTCCGTAAATAGTAATGGAAGCGTAGATCAATGATAAACATGTCCTGTGATATTACACACAAAAATTAGTTTTAATGTCTCCTTACTAAAACTGTAGACATTTCTCAAGAAACTGTCCTTAGACTCTGAACTCCAACAACCCAAATCCTTTTACTGCAGCAAAAATTGTTGGGGGAAAAATTCTGGTGACATATGACAGACTAATTTAACATATTGTAGTCTGTCTATTACTACAAATAGATACAATGACTCCCCTTTTCCCATCTGAACTTTGTTCAGTAGATGTTAGAGGCTTGTTGCTAAAATATCAGACTGTTCCATAGTTGGTGAGTATGCTCTAAAGCTTAACACGCTCAACTGAACTGCCACAGACAAATTCATAGTGGCAGCTATTGCTGCTTTCCCCTCTCAAAATACTATTAGGCAAGAGAAGGCATACAAGACTGGGAACCAGAAACCATGAATTCAACTCTCAACTTTTCTATTCACTCCTGTTATTTCTGTTCCTTTTATAATCTGTATTCTTAATCAAGGCCTCATAACCCACTGAGAGGTTATAAAAGCTGGGAGCAAAACCCTGATTCTCAAAAGGCAGATCCAAGTCTCATTTACTTAGCCACACTGCCTCTCAGAAAGAAGCTACCAAATCTAAGTACATGGTTATGATGTCTGTTTCAGTGCAATATGCATCCTCCTTGGGTCCAGTCCACAGAAGATAGCAGCCTACCAGTAATTGCACATCATCCTTTAGCTCAAGTAGCAGATGTATATGGGCAGTGCTGAAGCTTGTGGGTTCAAACTATGTTTATGAGAGGAACGGGCAGCATTATAGTTATATGAAATAGAATTCTTTTGTTTTTAAAAAAAAACGTAAGATGTTATATACAAAAAATAAAAATTACAAATGTTAAGGTTGCAAAGTCATGCACTCAAAAAGTTAAGAAAGGTCATTCCCTGAGCACTGTCCATTCTGTGCATTGAAAGAGGTATTGGGTGGGGGTGGGTGGGATCCTAACTTTGAGAGCTTGAATTTCACACCTTAGTGTTCATTCAACATAGTTTGTCTGTAATCTTTTATATCAAGTAGCAATGCATTAGCAAGATATAAAAATTATAATCTTTTAATATCAGTGGGACATTTCACTTCATATTCTTTATGAAAATATGCTTATGATATGAATGACATAACTGAGATATACTTTATGCCAGATGGCGCATGTAAGATATAATTGGAAAGGTTATGATTTACTGAATGTGATTATCCAATTTGTATGCCAGTATCATTTCTGTATCTGAAGTTAGGAATATTAACTATGTATCTGTATTTCAAAATGTGTTACTTTGGGTGTCACCCCCAACCAGCCCTTCAGGTACAACAATGGAAAAGCCAGACAAGGCTAATGGGCCATTAGCAGAGACAATGAACTGTGAAAGAGCTTAGTGTTCCTGTGGATGCTCCAGACAGCCTATGAGTAATGGTTGCCACAGCCCTGCAGAGACATGAGGCTGAGTCACCTGGTACTGGACCCACCCCTTGTAATGCCAGTGTTCTTCCACTTGGAGACAAAGGGTTCCCGCCATACACAAGAGCTATATAAGGCAGGGGAGTGACATCATCATGTTTCTTCTCTGCCTCCGCACCCAGAGAGACACTGAAAAATGCCTGGAAGCAAGAACTAAACTTGGGGGAGAAGGGTTAAGCCTAAGCTGAAAGGGCATCTAGCTTGTGGGTAATAATATCTGAAGTCTCAAGCTACAGACCAGTGTAGCTACCTTTCAAGACTTTCTCTAATCTGCCTACAACAATATCTAGGGTGAGAAATTACTCTTTGTAACCAATTTCTTTAGTGAAACAAGCTTAGCTTGTGTGTTTTGTTTTATTTTCTTAGTAATCTGCTTTGTTCTGTCTGTCATCTCTTATATTCACTTAAAATCCACCTTCTGTAGTTAATAAACTTATTTCTCATTTATAATATAACCCAGTTTGTGCAATTCATAACTGAGGGGGGGGATAAGAGGCTGTGCATACCTTCCTCCACAGAGGGAGGAGGAGGATTTCAAAATTTACCTTTGGGTCTGCACTCCAAGGGAGGTGGACACCTGAGTGCTGGGGCAAGTGCCTTAAGATGAGCCTTCCCAGAACTGATCTGAGTGTCTGTTTCATTCTGCAGTTGGGTGTGGCCCTGCCTGTGTGAGTGCTGGAGGAGACTTAATAGCCTGGCTCAGCAAGACAGGTAAAAGGGGTGCCCAGGCTAGCAAAACAGGCGGACTCAGTGGTATCTCAGCACATCAGATGGCATCCTAAGGGGGTAACCGGTCACAACCAGACTGAGCTCAACTCAGCTTAACACCTCAAGTTTGCAGGACTGTGCTCTGAGGTATGCACGCCCAGTGACCATGGGCAATAATATTAAAGGGCTTCAGTTGATAAAAGCTACTGGTGGTTTTTGCAGGAAAGTATTCTGTGGCATTTGTGAAGGCTTCTTTCTATACTGAAACTGATGTCTAGCATCTGGTATTTTAAAAGCATTAGATGGCATTAAAGTTGTAGTTCTTTGCAGTACATTTTCTAAAAAATGTGGACATGTTTTTCCTTTACCTTTGTGAATCTATTGATGATCTGACCTACTGGATTAGTTTCAAAATACTGGAGGGGAAGGTGCAGCACGTTGGCTAACATGTGATTATGCAATGTCCGAGAAGCACAGAGGGATCCCCGAGTAAGCACATATGCACCATAGCAGACCAGAAGACCTTAAGAATGAATGAATACATAAATAAATAAAATAATGACTGGTGGTTTTTTTCCTCTTCTAAACGGATTACACTTCAGCCTGGTAGGCCCACTATAAAGTTTTGTTTTACGTATTCATCTGTTCACATCTTACCCCTTCATAAGCAAGTCTAGCCTACCATTAGCAAGTGCGTATGATTCCTGTTAACACTAGCTGTGACATGGACACTGACATCTAACCCCACAGAAAATAGTAACACCTCATTAGCTAAAATGTGCACTTGTTCATACAACATTGACTTAGTTCCAAGGACAGCCATTTAACAAATTAGTCTAATCTGCCTTTTCAATAATTCCTTCACTTTACAGCTCCCTAGCTTGATCCTTTCTCCCTGCCACTCCCCTCGACCAAATGTGAAGTGATTCTATTCTGCTGCTATACACACCTCTGATTACAGAATTACCAATATAGTTTGTCTTTGTATTACCCCAATCTCCAGTCTCCATTACAGATTTAACAGAATGTAAAAGAACCCCAGGCAACTAAGCTTTGCAAATACAGAGAAAATAAAGTCTTGTATGCTTAGGCTTACCTTGTATGAATCCCAAAAGCCCATAGATACCCAGTTTGTTGTTTCTTAAGTGTTTCCACTCTGTGTGATCCTTATTTTTTTCTTCTTCTGCTGACCAGGTGCTAAGCCACAGATTTTGTCCTACGGCTACTGCATTTTGTCCCAAGTAAGCTGCTAGGGTTAGCCACACCCATAGCCATCCAAACGCTTGCAGGTATTTCAAAATAACTGACATTGACATCTAAATACAAGAAAAGCACAGGAGTTACTAAAAATGTCACCGTGAAAGACAAATTACAGTAAATGAACTGAATATACTAATTTCTTCAGACATTCATATAAATAATGAAATCTAATAATTTAATCACATGCAGTCATATTTTGGATCTCCAAAAATCTATTTTCCCCCTTATAATACAAATTTGTCAGCTGTACAGGGTGGGATACTTTTAATATATGCTACACACAACATTAAAAAGAACATTAAGATTACAAACTCAAGCCTAAAAATGTTAGGAAATGCCAGAATAAAGGTTGCTTAATCACCTATAACTTGCCCCCTTTCTTCAAATGCATCATAGTACAATAATTAATTACATGATCACATACTACTCTTTTCAATAGGACCCTAGTCTCATTCAGGTGCACAGGATCGATGATGCTTACTTAATAAGCAATTATTCATTATTAGTTTTCGCTTCACTAAACAATGTGTGCTGTTGACCTTATTTACTTCATGCTATTCAAACCCTGCTCTGAATACAGAATTATGAATTTTTCTCATGGTCTTTCCTATAATGCTTGTCATTACAGTATCTGAGTACTACACAAATATTTATTAATTAATTTTGATGACACTCAGGGCATCATCTCCATTTTACAGACTGAAAGTTGAGGCACAGTAAGATTCAGCTCAAAAGCATCCAATCGTTTTCTGTGCCTAATTTGAGACATCTCAGACCTGATTTTCCAGACTACTTAACATGATTTTCAGAGGCTTATAACTTGACCAAATATGGGCAGATTTTCACAGTGATCGCAAAAAACAAATCCCTGACACAAAGGCCACCCTCTTGCCAAATTTCAAGCCCTGGCTCCAAAACATGGAGGCATTAGAACTTTTCAAAGAAGGGGTCACCAGAATTATTTTTAACACAGGCAAAACATGTTTTTCTTTAGCGCTGAGCTCAGAAACAGCTGAACTATTTGGCTGAATTTTTCCCAAAATATTCACCTTGAGGCAGGCACCTAGTATGGAAAATTTCAGCCCAAATGGTTAATGTTTGGCAAAGCTACCAATAACTGAAAACTGAGTCTTATAATGGGCAATGTCAGGAAATCTTAATCAGTGGCGCTACCAGCCCTGCCTATAATTACTTTAATACATTACATGTATATAGAAAACTACAAAGGTAATTTAGCTAATGCTTACACTGCCAGTAGCAACATTTTCTTTCTTCATTGAGAATGCTTTGGTTTGTTCAAAGGAAGAACTAAAAATAACAATTTTAAATGTATTTTAATCGTAAATATGAAGTTAAACATCAAGAAAAACACATACACAGAATTAATCTTGAACAAAAAACAGTGAACTTAAAGGTCTGTGAATTCCTCTTCCTTGAAAATGCCACAGCGTATTTCCAAGCCCTTCCTTTTTATCATTAAAATGTTAGCGTATCCAGACACAATAACCACGATTGATGCAGTGTCCTAAGTGCACACAGTGCTTTACAAACTTGCAAATAGGAATTTACTCAGCTATCAAACAGAATATAGAGGCAATCTGATGTACACAAAAAAGCAAACCAAACCAATGTGAGAGAGCAGCATGAGTGCAAAGAAAAAACAAAGCCATATTCTTATGTTGCTTATGAACAGATGGAGATGATGCAAGAAGCCCCTCCCCTAGCCCAGATTTGCACCCAAATCTTGCACTGTGCACTCCCTAAGGCTGGACTAGTTCTAGTATCACATCAATTACCCTCCCCAAATCGGATCCTGGCTGTGTACTACTTGCTTTCAGTACTCACCTGTTTTTCTGCCCCTGGAGCTCTTTTTGAGGCAGAGTATTGCCTTTTTGACTCTCTTTCTTTAAAGAAGACACTATAGTGAAAAAATGGAAAATACTTTTTTCGAGTCTTTATAGTTTGTTCAGACAGCTGCAATAATTAAGAAGTGAGGAATAAAAAGGAGAGAATGTAGGTGAAGTGGAAGTGGGGCTGCTCTATAACTATGTATGAATACTGTATACTGACCTGGTTATTGGGATGTTTACTGTATGAATATGTTGGTTTAAATTAATAGCAGTATCAGAGTTCAGGGCCAGCTGCACTTTTGACCCCCTCTTTAGCCTGAGTGAACCTTTTCAGGTGACAGACCCGTACCTTCACGTCTCAAAGAATGCAATCCTGCAATTCTTCCACTTTCAGAATAGGTTCCCAGGGTACAACACCCCTGTGTACTAACCCTAGTTACTCAGCAGACCCAGCTGTGTTCAACTACCTACAAGCCTTGTGCACTTCAGGATCCCTGTGACCAGTAGGTGAATACAGTGACTCCGAATAGCCTTTTCAAAACAGAAGTATTGTTTAAGCCCAATAGTAGGAACAAAGCATAAACAGAGAAATGGGGTTTTAACACAACAGATGGTCTACACATATATCTATCTTACCTAAAGGCATAAGTAGGACTATCTTAACCCAGACACCCTAACCTCTGAGGCCTGGGATTCAGTCTGGTCCCCGGCAGATTGCCTCTCCCCTCAGTTCTTCAGGGACTGTCCTTTTATCCACGCCAAAGTTGGGTGGATCCCCTGTCCTGTAGCTGCTAACCGGTCTGTTCAACTCAGCATGGTCAGAGGTAAAATTTGAAAGCAAATAACACCTGCATTGTCCTTTAAGTATCACTGTATGGGACTATCTGAAGCTATTGTCCATTTTCCTGCATATGTGCTGTTGACCCCTTGTAATCATGACAGAAAATGACATAACAATCTAACAGACCATACAATATTAATGAAATATAACAGCAGATCACATATCATTCACAAGCAGGCTGCAGGGAAAACAAGCAGGAAGCAGAACAATGGCATTAGAAAGTTACCTTTCTACCAACACTTAAGAGACGATGCAAGAGCCATTCACTTTGATGTCCTACCTCCCGCCCCCCACTAAGTCAACTGGACTAGTTTGTCAAAAAAGGTCAAACTTGGGAACACATGACTGAACTAGATGAAAAACGACACATTCCTTCAAGCAGGGGGAGACACAGTTAGAGGGAAACAGACTGACACCGCAACAGTTACTGGAAACTGGTAAAGTGAGGCCTGCCTACTTGGCAAACCTCTAGGGGTGTGTGTGTATATATATATATATATACACACACACACACACACACACATATATACACACACACACACAGACAGATATAATATATATATATATATATATATCTGTAATATGTCTGTATATCTATTTGTATATTCTATCTCTGTAATATATAGTAGCTGTTTTTTAAAGTTTGTGTGTTAATTAGCTTTACTTACAGTTGTCAGGAGTGTCCCCTTTGAAGTTTGGCAATAATCTCTCTGTTGAATCTGGCCTATTTCATTATGCAAAAACTGATTTGCTTCCATCCCACTATTTTTCATAAATATATGATTACCCATAGAGGCCTTGCTAACCAAAAAACATGTCAATTTACACAGTAGCAGCATCATTTGCAATCTGAGAATACATTGTTTAACTAGTTTCAGAGTAGCAGCCATGTTAGCATAAGCTTTCGTGGGCTACAGCCCACTTCATCGGATGCATAGAATGGAACATATAGTAAGAAGATATAGATATAGATATAGATATATACACACACATACAGAGAAGGTGGAAGTTGCCATACAAACTGTGATGAGCTATTATCAGCAGGAGAAAAAAACTTTTGTAGTGATAATCAAGATGGCCCATTTAGACAGTTGACAAGGAGGTGTGAGGATACTTAACATGGGGAAATAGATTCAATATGTGTAATGACCCAGCCACTCCCAGTCTCTATTCAAACCCAAGTTAATGGTATCTAGTTTGCATATTAATGCAAGCTCAGTAGTTTCTCCTTGGAGTCTGTTTTTGAGGCTTTTCTGTTGCAATATTGCCACCCTTAAATCTTTTACTACTATACAGAAATAGGAGATACAAAACAAGGAATTGTTTGTTTCTCAGCACTAGAGCAATACATTAAAAAAAACAAACAAACAATAAATTCAGAAACTTTCCATGTGAAATGTTTCCCAGCAACACTGAAAGAGTTGTCAGCTAGATAAAATGTTAAGCCTAAACATCCCTCTGAAAAGTGCAGGACGCTTTCTTTGTATATTTGTGAGAGGAAGAGAAATGCTCTCAGGTTGACAATTCCTATGCCATACTTCTCCATAACATGTTCCACAAACTTATGGAAATGGAGGGGAGTTTCTAATGTAACACCATGTAGATTGGTGATGTACCAGCAGGTATTACTGTAATAACTAAAAATGACTATAAAAGTCAGAATTATTGAAGTGTCAGATACACCAAAATGAATCTTTGACTAAAGTCAATTAGGAGTTAACAGGACAAAAAAGCATAGGCAGAAAAATCATGGAACTATGTGGCAGTTTCCTGTTCCAGGAATTACTTATATTCACACAGGGCCTGGTCACAGGAGGGCCTTTAGGTGCCTGAAGTCAATGACTTATTATTCCAATAGTGCCTGAATTTTATTCCAGTTTATAACTTGGAATCTCAGTATCTAGACCTGCCTGAATTCAAACAAGTGATAGAAAGGTGAAAGCTTCTTTTACCAAATCCTTGTGCTATTCAATCCCCTAAAGGAAAAATATTTTCTTAGCAATTGATGTAGAAAGGTAAAACTAGGTTTTCGGAAAACATGGTATATTAAAAAATACTATATGTGCTCACTTTTCATTTGAGGTGTTTCTTCACTTTTATTTTCTGCACTGAAGACTTGAAGGAGCTCAGCAAAGTTAGCTCTTTCTGAGAGCAGCTCTTGGTAGGTCCCCATGTGCGCTATCCTGCCATCTTCCATTACAATTATAACGTCCGTCTGAGGCAGGAGTGTCAGGTTATGGGTCACTAAAATACGCGTCTGAAAAACACAAAACGTTTTATTTTTTACCATATGAAAATGAAGTGTATACTAACAGTACAAGGGAGTTTTTAAAAAAGGAGAGTTGCATATGGAATTGTCTTAGGAATTTATCTAGCTCCTTCTTTAAAGCAACCAAATAGATTTGAAGAAATTGTTACCATTGTTACATATTACAATAAACTAAGTAATGATCAAAGTACACATTATTATACTGCTGTTGCACACATGGTTCTTAAGGCATGTTGTATCAGCCTTACAAATAAAAATACTTTAGAATTAGGGAAGTGCTCATTTTTAATGATAACAGAAGATCATGAAAGCTCGAGTTTCTTGGTAAGAGTCCCTCTAAATACAACCTAGTACCATATCTATGTTGATAGCAGCCCTGTTCATCTTGTTTAGGCATCTGTCACTACTAGTGTTTTCAGTACTGGAACCTCCTTTTTCAGGTGTTTATTACCAATAAAGCAGGTGAAGAAGAGAAGGTTAAGAGGGAAGTAAAAAGAGGAACATCTCCACTTCCACCAATCCATGAATTCCATAGACATCAGCTAGCAGTAAATAATCTGCATAAATCAGTAATATTGTGGAAAGTTACTTTTCACCAAGATATTTGAATCTTTAACAAATTTTAGATGAGAAAACTCCATCCCCTGCCCACTCTTCCTCAGGGATTCCTTTGGTCACCAGAAAACCTTTTTGCCACTAACATTGGATGCACCTTCCTATCAAGTACATTTGGAAGTTGAATCTAGACAAATTCAAACTGGAAATAAGGTGCAAGTTTTTAATGGGGACAGGTTGTGGTATAACTAACCATTGGAACAACTTCCCAAGGGTTGTGGTGGATTCTCCATCATGAGCAGTTTTTTTAAAAGATATGTTGTAATTCAAATAGGAATTTTGGGGAAGTTCTATGGCCTGTGTCTGATGCAGGATAACTAGATGATCGCAGTGGGTCCTTCTGGCCTTAGAACCTGTGAACCTTCAGCCCCCCTTTCAGCCAGGTGAAGGATCAATGGTGACCACAAGGCCCTTCCTCCCTCCTCACAGATAGAATCCACGGCACTCTTAAAATCTCTGTCAACTAACGAGCAAGGGCCAAGTTGGAAGCCCAAATATTATATGACTCTCTGAGACTGTATGGGTACATCTGTACTGCAATAAAAGACCCTCTTTGGCCGGTCAGCTGACTCGGGCTCAAGGGGCTAAAAAGTGCAGTGAAGACATTCGGGCTCAGGCTGGAGGCCAAGCTCTGAAACCGCACAAGGAAGATGGGGCTCAGAGCCTGGGCTCCAGCCCCAGCCCAAACTTCTACACTGTGCTTTTTATCCCTGAGGCCCGCGAGCCTGAGTCAGTTGCCCTGGATGCTGAAACTCGGTGCCACAGGTTTTTTATTGCAGTGTAGTTGTACCCTTTCAGACTTCCAGGTCAGCCCAGGTTAAGTGTTAATTGTGTCTGTGTTCATAAGACTGCTTGATATGATTCAAATAGTATAATCAGCAGGGCTTCTTATTTAACAAGGTGCTCCCTCTTTTTACCATATATAACAAGCCCACTCAGACACGATTCAAGATTTTCAATTTGCCTGTTGTACTATGTGAAGACTGATTTATTTACCTTGTTTTTTAAGAGCCCTGAGGGCCCAATCAGCTTCTCAAAAAGATGCTTTCCAACATGTACATCTACAGCAGACAAGGGGTCATCCAGAAGATATAGGTCAGCATTGCTGTAAACAGCTCTAGCTAGACTCACTCTCTGCTTCTGTCCCACACTTATATTCACTCCCTAGGAAAATAAAAGCATTATTAGATCAAACCAGTCAAAAGAGATACACATGATTTACTAAAAAAGAAAAGGAGTACTTGTGGCACCTTAGAGACTAACAAATTTATTTGAGCATAAGCTTTCGTGAGCTACAGCTCACGTCATCGGACGGAAGATACTGTCATTCTCAAGCAGCATGTCTAGCTCCTATCAGTTACACTATACCACTAAGTGAAAATAGACTGTGTAAATCACTTCAAGAGGAGATACCACATATGAAACATATTTGTGGTAGTTTTAATATATGTATATAATTTATTTTCCATTCTTCTTGAAGGTTATAGGGTTAAAAGTAATTGTTTACAGCTTAAAACTGCTGTTGTAAGTCAACCATAGAGCATGAAAGTAGGGACACAGCTTTACTTCAAAAGAGGAACTCTTTGGAAGTGGCTATAAATCCCCTTAGAGTTTTACAAATGTCCACTTAGCTTTATTTGAAAGAGTTTACAATTAAACTTTTCCATTCTGGTTCTCTCACTAACTTCCATACAGGAGCTCTAGCAAACTCCCAAGCTTAGGACTAGAAAAGGATATGGATGTATTTTATACAGTATATCTCCTTTGTGACAAACATACGTAACCTCTGAAAAAACAAGAGTGATTTGTGATAGGCGAAGTATCCGCGTGTTTGCGCACAAGCTGGGAAAAGGGGTAGAGAGGGGAGAGCAATATTATGGACAAGGGAGGGGGGTTTTCAGAAGCAACCAGCATTGGCCTAACTCTGTTCCCACTGATTTCATTTGGGGCAGAGTTAGGTCTTTCTAGTATTTTTCATGTTTAATGTCAATTAAACTACGTCTACACTGGAGAGGTTGCAGTGGCACAGCTGTAAGATCTCTCATGTAGTCTCTCTATGCTGACGGGAGAGAGCTCTCCGTTAACACAATTAATCCACCCTCAACATGTGGCAGTAGTTATGTTGGCAGGAGAAGCTCTCCTGCCGCCATAGCGCTGTGCACACTAGTGCTTATGCTGGCGTAATTTATGTCACTCAGGGGAGTGGAATATTCACCCCACTAAGTGACATAAATTTTGCTGAAGGCAATGTAGTGTAGACATAGCCTTAGCAAACTAAATGCATTTGGAAGACATTGTGAACTACAGCTCAGCTGAGTGACTGCATGTGATTTTTCAAGTTCTCACCCTTTCTCCAATCTCCGTTTGATCCCTATTTGGTAACTGCTCCAAATCTGGTAGTAGAGCGCAGGCTTCCAAAACCCTCTCATAATATGGCCTGTTCAGATCTGAGCCAAAGAGAATATTTTCTTGCAAAATGGAATTCTGCATCCAGGCCTGCTGGGAAACATAAGCCACTGAACCCTAAATAAAGAGAAAAGGCAACACTCTCATTTGGACAGTTCTACATGTGGTAAGATAGCATTTTAAGAACATCTGCTGTTCAAATTATATTTCAAAGTAAAGTCATTGGTTATTACTTCTAAAACATTAGCATAGTCAAACTGTTAGAATTCTAAAAAGTCAAATGTTCCAAACCAAGCTGTTGAAGATACTGGCTGAAATCCTGTGCATGTTATGAGGGCATGTGCACACTATACTCTGTCACCCTTACACGAATTGAGTAAAATCTTACTCATTGAGTAGCCTCATTGACAGCAATAGGACTTCTTGCATCCTAAGGTATTACTCAGTGCACTTAAAGGTAGCAAAACTGGACCTGTAGTTAGTACATGGCAAATATAGGAAGATTATATTTTGGTTTAATTTGCGGTTTTTAATGTAAAGCCAGTTTTGAAGCATTGCTCAATTAGAATAACAAGGTGAAGTACTGCTTAATTCTGGAAACTCCTGTGGTTAGTTACACACTGCCTTTATGTACCACTGATGATCCAGCTAGATAAAAATGTCAACACTAGAAACTAACATGGTTTTATGGGACAGGAGTGATGATTTTAAGAGCTCCTGACTATATGATCATAGTGGATCCTTCTGACTTAAATGCATAAATCTATGAAAATCTATTAATTTTATTAAGAAATATGATGAGATTCATTGACATCATCCTCCACCCAATGAATCCATACTAACTCTTCAGTAGCTTACTCTATATCAGGAATCGGCAACCTTTGGCACGCGGCTCATCAGGGAAATCCGCTGACAGGCCAGGCTGGTTTGTTTACCTGCCGCATCTGCAGGTTCGGCCGATTGCAGCTCCCACTGGCAGCGGTTCACCGTTCCAGGCCAAAGGGGGCTGCGGGAAGCAGCAGCCCCCACATCCGTCAGCCCACGCCACTTCCTGCAGCCCCCATTGGCCTGGAATGGCGAACCGCAGTCAGTGGGAGCTGCGATAGGCCAAACCTGCGGACGCTGCAGGTAAATAAACCGTCCCGGCCAGCCAGTGGATTTCCCTGACGGGCACGTGCCAAAGGCTGCCAATCCCTGCTCTATATAGTTCCCCATCCTAAAGAGGCTCCCCCTCACTTTTGTTGTTGTTACTTTTTATTTCCACTAAAATGTACTAAATTGATTCGCTTGCTGTAAATTAGCAAGAGACTTCAGACCCCTCTTTATTTAAACATTAGTGAAAGGCAATATGGTCTAGCGGATTTACATAGGAATGGAAGAAAGGGACTAACAAATTCTAATCTTACTCCAAAGTGACTCAAACTCAGGAGTTACTTGACAACTCTGCATTTATCAGTATTATGGTGATTGGTTAATTTATTTACAGTGTTTGGTATGATAAGTATTATTATTAGTGTGGGCTATGTTGAGAGGTTATCTTTCTGCTTAGCTGTTTTAGCCTAATATAAGCCTCTTTAAATTCTATTTTATTGTGATGGGCACTTGGACAATTTCCTCACTCTGTTCAACCACAGAAAGAGTTTATGCCAAGGGAGCTGTTATCATTGAGAGGGGCAGAATGAACTTCCTTCCATCTCTGTCCACAACTCACTTTCCCCCATTTAAATGTTTTCTCTCCTTTCTATGTGTAAGCCATTGTGAAATGGCTGACTATCTCCTGCAAAACTATATCACTGCTCCAAATGAGTTACGGTTGTATCACTCTTCTAAACCAGCCACTGTAGGATGTGTAGGCTTGATGCATGACCTTAATCCTAAGGATTTTTGCAATAAATAATTATAAATATAAATAATTATAGGTTTATGAAAACTAAATCATATTAGTTTTAGTGTAGGTGGCTGCGAATCAGTTAACTTGACAAGTAACATGAATGCCACCAAGCCATTTTTTCAAAGAATCCAATGGTCAGCATACTAAAAGAAATGCTTCCATTGTCAATATATTTTATTATATTCACAAATAAACGATCCTCTATAAAACAGTCATATTGTAATAATATAACTGTGGATACAAGAAACAAAATCAACTTTACTTTTCTCTGGACTGTTCCTTCAAACTTGTTCATTTCTCCAAGAATAGCAGAAAGGAGAGATGACTTTCCAGATCCAACCTGCCCCACCACAGCAACTAAAGAGCCTTCTGGGATCTTCATGTTCAAACTGGAAACATTTAGGAAGACAAACAACAGTAATCCTCTATAAACACTGTACTGTGTACAGAGTAGAATCCTCTTTAGTGGACACTAAACGGCAAAAATACAGCCTACTCCACTGTGACTGGGGAGGTGAATATTTCAGTTTGGATACCTGTGACTAGAGCATACTCTAGAACCCTGAAAAGCTATGGACTTAAGGAGACTGTAGTGTCTCTCTGCATGTTAAAAATTCACCATACGCTATCAATTGCAGAATCAGGGCAACAGTGCAGTAGGAAGCCACCACACAGTACAAGATTAACAACAGTAAGAGACCATGTAAGTTCCGAAAGGAAAACAAAAACACCCTGTTTGATTTGTAGCTATTTTCACAAATGCTTTCAGGGGGCTCAGTGGTCCAGCTTGTGCAGCTGTGCGGAGGTACTGGGCCATCTTGTGCCTTCATGTCTCTGTTCTGGCTACCTGCATCATGAGTAGCAATGCGGTAGGAGAAGACGGCTCTGGTCACATAGCAGTGCCAGCACCTCAGGAAGCATGCGCTGTTACGGGTTTATTCCATTCCCTGAGTAGTGGGGAGATCCGGAGGGATACTGTGGTCTGGGGAGTCAGTCTCCCACCTCGCTGTTCTGGGACATCACAACGTGCTGCACCTTGCACTAGGTGGACGGTTATGTCATGATCTATGTAAACTCCACCTAGCAGAATGTGATGCCTGTACAGATTCTTGTTCAAAGTTACTTCACAAACCTTGATTCTTACTTATTTAAGATTGAAGGTCCAGTCTTCTCCCATCGGAAAGAAGCACCAATAAATCCCACAGCATGATCTGTTGCAATAAAGAGAAATCAACAATAAGTTACAGAGGCAGCCCCTCAGCTGATATTGCTGGTTAATCAATTTGTTTCTGCAGACATTGAATAACAACAACAGAAACAACAACAAAACCCTGCTTACTTCCACTGTAGTTTGTGTTGATGTCTTGAGGGTCAAGGTCTTCAGAATACAGAAAATCCTCTAAACGACCCAGAGAAACCTTTGTCTGTAGAATGCACAAACTTTTATGCTATTTGGGTTTTTAAGCAATACTTCATATATTCTAGATTACACCAAGAAACAAGCATGTCTATTCATTTATTCTGAGATGGGCAATGAACAGAAAATGTTTTCCTTATGTACATTCATAAAGGTAGCTGAAGTTTTAGGCCAGTGGTCCCGAAACTGTGGGGCGCACCCTGTAGGGAGGCACAGAGGAACATTCCAGGAGGCAGTGTGGGACCTGGGCCGGGACCTGGGCCAGCCCCCACAGGGAGCGGAGCGGGAGAGCCACCCAGCTCCGCTATGCCCCCATATCTGCTCCAGCCCCACTCCGAGTCTTGGCCCCATGCCCAGCCTCAGCTCCTGGCTGCAGCACCAGCCCTCTCCCCAGCCTTGGACCCCAGCCAGGGCTCCATTCCCAGCCCCATCTCAGCTGCGGCCCCAGCCTCAGACCCCTTACCCCTGTCTATGTTCCCCCTCCCAAGCTGCAGCCCCACTCCCAGCTCTGGCAGGAGCACAGACAGGGTCAAGGAGGGGCGCAACCCTGAAAAGTTTGGAGACCACTGATTTAGGTGGACAGCAGTATTCACTTGAAACACCACACCCTGTTGGACAGCATTGATAATCGTGTCCCAGTGGAAAGTAGGCTCTGCTGACTCATAAAGGTTATGTCTTCACTGACAAAAAAAGGGTGCTTTAGCTATTATTCTACTGGAAAAACATAGTGGAGACAATGGACTTTAGTTTTATTTAAGGTAAATGAAGCAAAGTCAACCACATTGGGGTACAATGCTGACCTGCTAGCTACCTTGTGGCAAACACTACGAGTGACTTGTTTCCACACTCGTTAGTTATCTTGCTGTTTAAAAAACATCTGTGTGTCAGTGGAGACAAAGTCTGAGACAGGTTGTTTGTGGATTAGCTCTCTGGAAGAGAGAGGGAACATTTAGCATATAAACTGAGCAGTCCTAAGGCAGCAGCCACGCTTGGGGAGACTTAGCTCAATTTTGTTATACTACTGCTAATTTCTGGGTTAATAAAACCAAACCCCAGGAAGGGTTGAGTTCTGATTCAGCATAGTTTTTGCCCATGTCTGACAGCAGGATGGAGAGGGCATCTGCTGACAATGGCCTTTCTACTTTCTTTACAAGAAACTGAACTACATATAGAAACAGTAGATAGAGCACAAGTAGAAACAGGAACAGTACTCATGCCACCTGCTGGTCATTCCTTATAATATGTTAACATACTTCAAAAGATAATATACTCCCTCCAATACCAGTGCCTCTCCCACCCCTCAAAGACATGAAAGTTTCAACAAAATAAAACTAGAAATAATCAGGTGGCTTAACCTTAATCTTAAAATAGATTAAACCACATGACACCCTGGAGATTAATAAAGGGCCATAAATGTCATCCTTTTTTGACACCTATTTGCATTTGATTTAGATTTTACCTGGGCTACGGCAGAGATCACTGTTGGCAAATCAAACAAAGGCAGTCGCAAAATATTAAACAAAGAAATAGATGTAAAAACTTTAGTTGCAGTTAGGACATTCTCTTGATCCAGCAGAAAATACACTCCAAACGTAGCCAATGAGACCTTTAAAAAAAAAAAAGGAGGGGAGGGGGTGATTATTTTTTCATTACTTTTCTCATCCTGCTTAGTTTTACTTTTCAATGATTCCTGCTACAAAAATATGATGGTAACAATTAAGAGCTGGATGTTGACTACAGCTTAATGCAAACTGAAACACAAACTGTGCTACTATTCATGCATTAAAACGAACATACTTCTGTCTTTAGACTAAATACAAGCTCTTATATCTTGTGGTATAAAATTCCATTTCATACTTAAGTTTGTACACACATAATATTCCCATTGGATTTCAGTCTATTTGAAGGTCTCAATAGTCTCCATTTGTTGATTGGCACTTGTATCCCCACAGTCTGCTTTTTCCACAGTATATTGGCACTGTCATTTTAACAAGCAATTGCATGCCTACTGACATAAACAAATGAAGGTGTTTCCGTTAGAATGGGGCAGGAAACAGATTTTTGGTCCTGAATTGGGACAAAAAGTCCATCTCACATATTTATGGACTGACAGTGTGAGGAAACATTCCATTCAGCGCACATGAAACACTGTGTGTCAATTTTGACGATTTTCATTTTTAATTTTATTTACTATAATTAGCTTGCATTTCAAAATGAAAAAAGTCATTTTGAACTAAAGAAAAGGACTTTTTTGTTTCAAAAATGTCAAAATGGGAAACTGGCAACTCTGAAATTTTTCCAATTTTTTTCCACAAGAAGTGTCAAAACTGTCCCTCTCGCATGAACAGGTTTTGTTTCAATGAATCGGCATTTTCTGAAGAAAAAGATTTAAGTCGACAAATTCCCAACCAGCTCTAGTTTCAGCCTTACTAGAAGGTCATGAAGGATCACCTAGGTTTTACTATTCCTAAAAACATGTGACATTCTAATAAAGGTCAAATTCTCAGCAGCTGTAAATGGACAAAGCAACTGAAGTCAACGAAGCTGCAGCCAGATATAAAGCAACAAAGAATTTGGACATGTACGTTTTACACGGGTGCTCTGAAAATCAAGTTAACTAACCTAGGCATTTCACACAGAATGGATATATTTTAAAGGCTTATGTTTTGTTAAAGATGATAAAAAGGAGAAAAAGATACTTCTCTACTTTTAAAAAAAAAAAAGGAGGACTTTTGGCACCTTGAGACTAACAAATTTATTTGAGCATAAGCTTTTATGAGCTGTAGCTGTAGCTCACGAAAGCTTATGCTCAAATAAATTTGTTAGTCTCTAAGGTGCCACAAGTACTCCTTTTCTTTTTGCGGCTACAGACTAACACAGCTGCTACTCTGAAACTTCTCTACTTTAGTTTGACAAAACAGGACTTATCCAGGTGAGGATCTGGCCCATACTTTCTCCTATTTATTGAAGTGATTAAGTCTGAAGGGCCAAATGCATTCCTAGTGTAACTCCACTGAAACGGAGTTGGGATGAAGTTGGCTCGAAGTCTTGTTATTCTTTTTTGAACAGTTTTAGTTTCTTAAAATTCAGAACCTTACAGTTCAGTGGCAGGGAGGGGAGTGGCAGAGAGGAAGGGAAGGGAAGAGAGAGGAGGTTGCTAAAAACAAGGATTAAAAGCATCTTCCAAACTTTAAAAAGCAGAAAGGCATAATGATAACAGAGCTGGTCACCATATGACCACATGATTTTTCAACAGTGTTTACTTATATAATTAAATTGTATCATTTTCTTTCTTCTGCAGGAATTTAGGAAGGGATGAAATATGTTACTGAGGTAAATGCACAAATGTATTATGCAGTAACAGCTGCACTTCTGCAATTATTATTTAGTACTTTACAAATCATGCATCATAACATGGTTGTGATTTATAATACACAAATAAACATCAGTATCCCACTTTTACAAATGAAAAAACTAGCAGAGAAGAGTTAAAAGATTGGCCTAAATCCATACAGTAAACTGGAATTAACCCATGAGTTTCTGACTCCCAGTTATGAATTCAATCTACTAACACATGGTCCCCCAATTTTCCAGCAGATGTAGGCTTTAGCTCAGAAGATCAGGTGTGCTGCAGAAATAAATGTGTTCACTTATGTTGTTTTTGGTACTTTACTATAGCAATTGCTTGTTATGTGTAGAGCCTTACCAAATTCATGGCCATGAAAAATGTGTCGCGGACCATGAAATCTAGTCTCCCCCTGTGAAATCTGGTCTTCTGTGTGTTTTTACTGTATACGATACAGATTTCACATGGGACACCAGAGTTTCTCAAATTGATGGTCCTGACTGAAAACGGAGTGGGTGTCACAAGGTTATTTTAGGAGTTTGTGGTATTGCCACCCTTATGTCTGCACTGCCTTCAGAGCTGGGTGGCTCGAGAGCAGCGGCTGTTTACCAGGTGCCCAGCTCTGAAGGCAGCGCCCTGCCAGCAGCAGCGCAGAAGTAAGGGTGACAAAACCATACCAGGCCACCCTTACTTCTGCACTGCTGCCTTCAGAGCTGGACAGCCAGAGAGTGGCAGCTGCTGATTGAGGTCCCAGCTCTGCAGGCAGCAGCGCAGAAGTAAAAGTGTTGTACTATGTCATCCTTACTTCTGTGCTGCTACTGGCAGTGGCTCTGCTTTCAGAGCTGGGCATCTGGCCAAGAGCCGCTGCTCTCCAGCCGCCCAGCTCTGAAGACAGTGCAGACGTAAGGGTGGCAATAACCCCTACAATAATCTTGCGGAACCCTTCCCTCCCACAACTCCTCTTTTGGGTGAGGACCCCTACAATTACAACACTGAAATTTCAGACTTAAATAGCTGAAATTATTAAATTTACATTTTTTAAAACCCTATCACTGTGAAATTGACCAAAATGGACCGTGAATTTGGTAGGGCCCTAGTTATGTGGCTTCAGAGGAGGGAAAAGAAAAATTCCTATCTGACTTCTGAATATAGCTATGCTATCAGTAGGTGTGGAAGCGTACTAAACAGATTGTGACTTTTATGAATAACTGCGAGAAGCTTTATTTGCTATGTAGGGAGTTTGATGGGGGAACCTCTAACAGATGCTAACAACGTCAAGGAGTGTGTCGGAGGGAATTTAGCTTCTGTCCTTCTCAAGTATATTATCCAGCACAGCCAGGCTTAAGTTGTCTCTATCTCACTCCGATGTAAGGTATCTTTTTTCACCCACAGAAAGTTATTCTTCTCAGAAGAACTAGAATGTGTACCTCTTTCCCCACCTCCACCCCAATCTTGTTTCCTTTTAAAAATCTGAGCATGGAAAAAAAGCAAAAACTTGTCTTAGATGCTTAATGGGGATATCAACAAGAATCAATGCTATTAAAAAAAGAATGTGTGACTGTTTACATTACAGAAGGAGGGTCTTTGGATTAAGACACTGGACTGGACTGAAGAGATCTTGATTTCATTCCTGGCTCTGCCACAGATTTCCTGTATGACCTTGGAAAAGTCACAATCTCTCTATGCCTCAATTCCCCTATGTAAAACGGGTATTATAATAATACTTCCAGACCTCACAGAGATATTGTGGTGATAAATTCATTAATGGTTGTGAGGCTCTCAGATACTCTGGTGAGAGTGATAGCTAGCTACAAAAATGGATATTGTTAAGTAACGCACCATAAAAGGGATACAGGTTAAAGTTAGCATGGAGAAAGTTGTCAGGTACCCAGATGACTTCAGAACATCTATTTCATGTTCTCGTATTTCCACAACCTTCTTCTGATATGAAGGTTCCCATGCATAAAGTTTAAGAATCTAAGTACAAATAAACAGAAAATTTCATCTTAGTAAATCAACAGCAGTGATTGTTAAAATGAGTTTAAATTCCAAAAATGTATCTGCAAATGTTGAACAATACAAAACTGTAAATATCCAACACTTGCATTTTCCAGTGGATAGCTTCTACAAATGAAATATTGTCCCAGCAAGACCCAATATAACCCAAAATGAGATTTGTTATGAAGAATGCTATAGTGTAGTCACCTTGAGCTCTATACATTTCACTGTGCTCCTGTTTTGGTGGATTACTTATTATTCCAGATTACTACTATCAGCATTCACCCCATGTACATTTTAGTTTATTAAATTTATTCACAGAGGTGCCACCATCTGACTTCATTGTAACCCTCTTCTATCACTTTCTGATGTGGGAAAAAATCAGCTTGGTAAGCTACACGTTTATGTCATTTTTCTAGTGCACAGCATGTAAGACTGATCATCTCCAGGTGGTGTGTCCAGACAATACTGTTATCTGATAAGGAAGTAAATTTAAAGTGTGGCCAAAGGACTCCTAAGGACTCCTAAAACATCCTTTACTATTGTCCAGAACACCAGACAGAAGAATTTACATATACAAGTAGGGCCTAACCCTTTAGCTATGTGAGTAGTTTAATTGAAGCAAGTATGCCCATAGAATCTGGAAAGAAACTCTTAGGATCCATCTACATGAAAGATACTACATAAGGTGGTATTATGAATGAAAAGAACACAAAATGTCCAAGGAAGGAGACGTTTCAAGCTTTGTATTGGCAAATAGCTACCAGTCCATCATACTAGCACTTTCATGATAAAAATATTCTCTATCTTACTTGCAACCAAGAAGCAACATCTTAAAGAAAGTATTATATACATTTTATAGCAGCACCAATGTCTGTGGTTAGAAATCCACAAAACTTCAGAAAAATGCAGAATGAACTGTGAATAATTTGAAGTACTGGCTACTTCAATATTTAAAAATTGAAGAAGCATAAATGACAAATAGATTTTCAGAAACAAGAACAAATTTGAAAAACTCAATTTTGTTCTTCAAGAAAAGTGAAGTTTAGTGAAGATTTCCAACCATCTAATGACAAACTATCTGTGCTGATTAAAAAATAAAACAAGAGAACATGATCAAAATATCATGGGTAATCTATATTTTATAATCACATCTCTTATTTTAATAATGCTTTAAAAATCCACTTTAAGTAGTTATATAACAGAATATATTTTCCCCTAAATTCTTCTTTCCTACATTATCAGTCGAAAGGTTCAGTGACAAAACCCTAGTTTTCTGAATAACATAGTCGTTCATCTTTATTAGGGAGAGCAATGAAACTCATTAGCTGCTGGTATTACCTTTATTCCATGCAAGATTTCATTTAGTAGTTTCACTCGCTGATCTGTATTCTTCATTTGGCTTTTCTAGTTTAAAAAAGAGAGAGCAATGCTTACAATTTTTTAAAAAATATCAGAGATTCAAACATATTTTGTGTACTTCAGACAGTGAACACAGCTACTACTCTATTATTCGCAAAAAGAAAAGGAGTACTTGTCGCACCTTAGAGACTAACCAATTTATTTGAGCATAAGCTTTCGTGAGCTACAGCTCACTTCATCGGATGCATACTGTGGAAAGTGTAGATGATCTTTTTATACACACAAAGCATGAAAAAATACCTCCCCCCACCCCACTCTCCTGCTGGTAATAGCTTATCTAAAGTAACCACTCTCCTTACAATAAGAAAAGGAGTACTTGTGGCACCTTAGAGACTAACCAATTTATTTGAGCATGAGCTTTCGTGAGCCACAGCTCACTTCATCAGATGTGTACCGTGGAAACTGCAGCAGACTTTATATACACACAGAGAATATGAAACAATATTGTATTGCTGCAGTTTCCACGGTACACATCTGATGAAGTGAGCTGTGGCTCACGAAAGCTCATGCTCAAATAAATTGGTTAGTCTCTAAGGTGCCACAAGTACTCCTTTTCTTTTTGCGAATACAGACTAACACGGCTGTTCCTCTGAAACCTCTCCTTACAATGTGTATGATAATCAAGGTGGGCCATTTCCAGCACAAATCCAGGGTTAAACAAGAATGTCTGATGGGGGGGAGGGGTAGGAAAAAACGATGGGAAATAGGTTACCTTGCATAATAACTTAGCCACTCCCAGTCTCTATTCAAGCCTAAGTTAATTGTATCCAATTTGCAAGTGAATTCCAATTCAGCAGTCTCTCTGAATTTCAGCAGTCTACCTGGATTTGTGCTGGAAATGGCCCACCTTGATTATCATATGCATTGTAAGGAGAGTGGTCACTTTAGATAAGCTATTACCAGCAGGAGAGTGGGGTGGGGGGAGGTATTTTTTCATGCTTTGTGTGTATAAAAAGATCATCTACACTTTCCACAGTAAGCATCCGATGAAGTGAGCTGTAGCTCACGAAAGCTTATGCTCAAATAAATTGGTTAGTCTCTAAGGTGCCACAAGTACTCCTTTTCTTTTTGCGAATACAGACTAACACGGCTGTTACTCTGTACTCTATTATTGACTCTCTTGGAAAAAAAATTCTTGTACTGTACACGTTACATTGTCAAATGTACTTCACATTTGGTATCTGACATGTATATCATTTTATCATCATATGATAAAAGGATTGGTATGTCCTCTCTAATAGCACTTTTTCTTTAAAAAATATAATCTTGATTTTTTTGTAATACTTCCTGCAGCATGATTACAGTAATAACTGCATTTCTTAGATTCTAATTAAAAGCTTCCTAATTAGAGTTTCAGTTCTCAGTGTTCTAGAATTACAAAATAGATTAATCTTAACAATGCTTAAACATCTAAATTATGATTTATAAAAAAAATTGTGATGTTGATTCCTTAAAATCTTGAATAGATTATTCATTATATTTTTCCATGGAGTAGTAACCATTTGCAAATTGACTTTAATAGCCACTCACAAGGAGTCAAATCCTGCTCACCTACCACATGTAAGTAGTCCCAAAAAACTGCTGAAACTATTTCCGTGACAAAAGCAAACAGAATTTGGCCCAGTCTGATTTGTGAGATGTGAAGGAATACTTAGGTTAAAGAGCATATTTTGAAAAAGAAATTCCTTTCCTCTGTTACTGACAACATCTTTGATGACTAAAACCTGAATTTTTAAAAAAAATCCTCTCTTCTTACTACTTATGCTAGATTTAATTTGTGCATTTCACTCAATTTGCACAATGAAAACATGCTAGTCAGTTTCACTTAACACCTTTCACACTCTGGTTATTAGGATACTTAGGCAGAACACTTTGGGTTGCAAACAGTGGCCAAGATCACTGCACTCGCCCTCACTTTTCTCCTTCTCCCTTCACATCACTGACAAGATCTGTATGGTGAGGGGAATTTCTGTGTAAAAATCTGCCCTCCCCTTCCTCCTGGTGGAGGTCAGCTGTGGCACTGTTTTCACAGACACATAGACCAGACCTCTCCACAGGTCCATGGCCCTCACTGCATAAGCAGCTAGAAACAGGGTATGCTGGGGAATACAAATAGCTTCCCTTATAGCCCTGTAAAGTTTCCTTGGAAAAGATAATAGTTTGGGCTGTTTTTATTCTTTCTGTGGATCATGGGCAGCTGTGGCCAAGGGAAGTCCATGATAAAAGGGTGCCAATGGAGCTGTGGTATCAGGGAGCCAGACAGAGGGGTTGTGGAGGCAGGTTTCAGAGTGGGTCGTGCAGCCTTTTCTGAGTATTGGGGGGCTAATCTGCCCCCCCACACACACACACACACCTCAATGGGATGGTGTGAGTCAGAGCATGAAAGTGAAATCTCTGAGAGGATCCTCACAAAGATATCTTTTCCCAGAATTACCTCCTGCACCTTTTACTACAGATCATGGCCAGATCATTTCATCTCTGCTGAGGAAGGTCACTTATTCCACTTCCCAACCCCCACTTAAATTAATTATAGTAATCATGGAAAGGTTTGTAAAAGCTTTTTTGTTAATTAAACCTAGATTTAGGGCCTAAATCAAACGTGTATTATTAATTTAAATGTATTGAATTACTGGCACACTCACTTCTGTGACTAACTCTTCTGGTCAGTATTTCACACTGTAAGCAGAGTGTCTGGTTTGTGGTGTTTATCTTTAGGCATATGATTTTTTTTTTTAAGACCTGCTCTTTACTGACAGAAGGGAAGCCATGTAACACCTATGTCAACATCCTCTGCTCCTGGGGATTAACACCCAAAAACGTATGGGCTACCTCTCCTATTTTCTTTTCCTTCTTCACCCCCAAACGAAAACTGTGAACAGGGAAAAGATATAGGCCCAAATCAGTTGCTGACTCAATAGCGCTTCGGGGACTAGATAGCAAGTGTGAAAAATCAGGAAAAAGGGTGGGGGGAAATAGGTGCCTATATAAGACAAAGCCCTGAATATTGGGACTATCCCTATAAAATCGGGACATCTGATCACCCTATTTAGTACTCCACATGGGTGCAGCAGTTGTAGGATTTGGACCTTTGGATTTTTGACTTCCATTTTATTTAATAACAAGCCCCTGAAAACACACCTTACTATTTTGTTGGTATGTTAGTCAGTTTTGTCCTAAAACCAGAAATCCTAACTATTGCCAGAAATTTGCTAACAGTGAGTTGAACAGGATGACTTGTGTGTAAAGTTAAGCACATGCATAAGTGTTTGTAGGATTATGGCCTATAACACTTCTACAGATACACAAAATCTCTTCAGTTTATTGTTTTTTGTTTATAGATAAAGTTTAGTGATCTAAATATTGATAGATGATATACCAAAAGCTCCCCCTCCAACAAAGGAATCTGGTTATTTTGTGCCTACATTAGTTTTACGTTCTTCTTTAAAAATCAGCTCTTCATTGTAACACCACAATTGTTTCCAGCATTAACATTTAGATTTCTTACCCTCAGCCGTTTCACTTTTGCAGCAACAAAAGCATTTATAGGTATAACCAAGACGAGCACTGCAACACCTGCTAGCACTGATGGGCCCAGTTCTTGCCAGAGAAAGACTATAGCCATCAGGATCTGAAAAGGTGCTGACCATAGAAGGTTGAGGTTTACAGTCAGTTCCATAAGTTGTTGAGCATCTGCTGACATCAAGTTAACAATGTCACCAGTTGTATATTTTCTCCGTGAAGAATTAGCTATGCTTAAAGCCTGCAACAATAGCAAGAAACCAAAGCGTACGGTTACAAAATGAACTACCTTTCTTAAATATGTACTTTATTTTAAAGGTGTTTTCAAAGACCTGTCTTAGCCATAATAAAGTAACAGCTAAATTGCACTCAATGGATGAGATTCCCCGCACCGCTTTGGCCCCCGCATATGAGCTAAAGGGGCCAGAGTGGGGTTTTACAAGGCCCTTGTATATGAGGCCAAGAAAGAATACCCCCCAGTGCAGAAACCAAGGAAGACAGTTACAGGCTGTCTTAGGAGTGCAGCACAGAATCTCACCTAATGTTTGAGGCTAGTTTGAGTCTCCTGAAAGAGGAGGTTGTCTTTTGGACACATTAAATAGATACAGTGAATTGTTTCAGCCCTTGCATCCTTCAGATTGTGCACAGTAAGTATAAGATGCACTGCGTAGCAACCCATGCACAGTCCTGCCTCATTCATTACACAGTAAATTTAAAAGGGGAAAAAAGAAAGCATCTTTGCCTCATTTGCTGTGCACTACAGTACAGTAAATACTTTGTAGCTCACAAACTCAACATAGACCAGCTATAGAGATACCTTCTCTCTCTCCAGAAAAGTTCTTGAGCTTTATTAGCACCTAAGCTTCCTTGCGCTGAATGAGACAGGGCCTACTACATGTATTAGCTATGCACACATTTACAGAGTTCATCTAAAACATCAGGTGAAAGTTACTTTTAAAAAAACACAACCGTTCCTAAACTATTGTGCATACTGCAACTTTCAGAGTAGCACTGCTGTGCCAAATCAAATCCAATTTTCACTGAAATGCTGAAGATCTCAACTTTTCTCCCCTAGAGAGGAGATTTCCTGGCCAAAATTTCAACTTTCTGCTCCCACCACTTCAATGCTAGAGCAATTCAAGGAAAGGTTGCATAAGTAGTTTTTATTTTTTAAAAAGGCTAGGGATGGAGGGGAATTCAGCCTTCTTTTTGCTCAAAAATGGATGAATCATTTTTGTTCAAACTTACACACACACACACACACAGCCCTCCACCTTTACACACAGACCAAGGCTGGAAACTTTCCAGTTTAAAAAAAAAAGAAAAAGTGAGTTTCAGAGAACAGTAAGCAAGTGAAAAAGGGGGTAGCTCCCAATCCAGCAACTTGCCCTACCCTAGCAGACCCCTATATCTCCACGGATTCTGCACTGATGCAGAGCTTCCCCCATTTAGTTGTAAGATGGGACTCCGAGAATGGAAACATGCAATTTTAACTTCAGCTGTTGCTAGTGCTACAGTTATAGTTCAGGCACCTTTATTAATATTTTTATCAATCTACAACATCTTTGGTTTTGTAGCACTTCTTTTGTCTTTCAAAAGGGAGACATTTGCCCTTTTTGGAGATTAGCGGGTAATGTTAGAAGAAGCAGTTACCTTTCTGTATATCAGGCCAACAGCAGCAGTCTTAATTTTGACAGAGGTGAGCATATTGAAACGCTGGTATAACTGATGGACAAGTGTCTGCAAGACAACCACGACAAGAAGAGCAATGGCATAGCTGTATCCCTTCCAGCGTAAATCAGAGTGATTTTCATACAAAGTTATCATTTCCCTGCAAATGAAGGCATACAAAGTTTTAAAATCTGTGCATTAATCAACAATATGCATCTGGCAAACGGTTTCAGTAAAACGGATACATTTACAATCTGTGTAGTTATTACATCCACTTTGCACAGGCCAAAATGAGTCTAAAACGTGCAAGACAGTGGAGAACCAAGATATTCAAAATGTGGGGAGGGGAGGCAAGAGAGAGTATTCATCTGTGTGCTGCTTTGCTGCCTTTGAAACAATTCTCAAATGCCACAGAGGGGGACGTTGCTGCTGATTTCACTGGTAATGAAGCACAAATACAGGGTGGTTAAAAAAAGTCTACCATTTTTTGTTAGAAATATAGAATAAAAAAAATCAGTATTTGCCAAATGAAAAGAGTAAAAAAAAATATCAGAAGTTAAAATTAAGTTTTGTTACTAGCCTGAAAATAGACTACTACTAACAAGTGACAGAGTAACAGCCGTGTTAGTCTGTATTCGCAAAAAGAAAAGGAGTACTTGTGGCACCTTAGAGACTAACCAATTTATTTGAGCATGAGCTTTCGTGAGCTACAGCTCACTTCATCGGATGCATCCGATGAAGTGAGCTGTAGCTCACGAAAGCTCATGCTCAAATAAATTGGTTAGTCTCTAAGGTGCCACAAGTACTCCTTTTCTTTTTACTAACAAGTGAGTGTAATAAACAATGTAGAGTAGTTGACAGTGTCATTCTAACATTTCCTTTCAGACAATTGCAGATGTAGGTCTCAGCAAGGTTTATTTTTAGCAAAAATTGTTCCATAGCTGAGGGTGACAGCCGCAACAGTCTAAAGGTTAACACAATCACTTATGTTCATAAATTCTCTGACAACCAACCAGGTGAACAACCGTGTTAACCACCTTCCCTTTATTGATAAAAATCACTTCCTCCTCTCCCTTGGCAGAGTCATTTTCAGTCTTCAATTAAACCTGAATTGTAGTTATTATAATTTCACTGAACTTCCATGCTTTTGTGGCTGAGACGTAGGTTTTTCTTTTTTGTTCAAGCTGCTCCAGCAAACGAGAAAAATCTACATCGAAGCAACAAAAACCTGGAAATTCAGAGTTTTGACTCTGAATTTAAGCTAACACTTAATATGTACTTTTTGAGTTAGTCTGAGAATCAGCCTTCAATTAGCTTTGCATTTCATTTGTTTTTAGTTCTTGATTCAGATTCTAAATTTTGAAATTCTTAAACACAGATTGCACAGATGGGCTTTGCATTTGTCACAGTTCCTGGGCTAACTGCCCCTCTGATCCTCCTCTAAATACACTCCCTCTCAAGTCCCTAGTAGTTGCCTGCCTCTTAGGATGAGCCACACAATTCTCCCACTCTCAGACCAGGCACTGTGCTGCAGTCCCTTGTGTATCAACCATGATTACCTTAGGATTGCCACCTTGATAATATTTAGAAACTGAACACTCCAGCAGGAGTGTCAGAACCTCCCTCACCCCGCCTCTTCCCCCAAGCTCCTGCCCCACCTTTTCCCCTGATGTCCCACCCCCACTTCTCTTTTCCCCTTCCCCAGTCACTCGGTGCTTTTCCCCTCCCACCCCCCACCACCCGGGTCAGGAGGGACTCGCCTGTGAAGCCAGGGCTGGGAGCTGCAGCTGCCTGATGCAGATAGGGGGCCGCCGCAGCTGAGTAAGGGCTGGCGCGGGCAATGACCCAGTGACACCCCACCTCCCCCTCCTGCAATAACTGGACTTTGGGTGTCCAGTCAGTAGATGTGACCAGACACTGTCAGGTTCCCTTTTCTACTAGACTTTCTGGTCGAAAGCCAGACACATGGCCACCCTAGATTGACTCAGTAGGTCTGATGTACGTCCAGACCCTACAATTCTGTTCCTTCCAAGAATAATGACAGTTGCAACCAGACAGCTTTTTTAAAGTGGAGTATTATTCATTAGAACAATAGATTTTTCTCTGAAATGTAATCATAAAAAAAAAAAGCCAGTCTACACTCTTGCCTGTCTGTCCCTAAAGCTTAGCACTCCATGGATATCGGGAAAGATCCAACTCTTTCAGATTCCTCCTCAAAGTCTCTGTCACTGTCAGCCTCTCTCCCCTTGGGCAGCACCTGACAATTAACTCTCACTTCCTCTCCAGAGAAGGACTTTGTAACTGGTTTGCAGTTTGTTGTAAAGAGGACACAGGATCATTGAGGGTAACATTTTGCCTCATTGTCTTTCAAGTGCCTGGATGTTCTTGTCTGGACAGCCATTGTGTTGCCTTCATGCACAGACCACGCTGAATTTTAACATTTTAAGCATATAATAAACATTCCACTACCTCCAATGTAAGTTAAATCAATTCTGACATTTAAGGAAATTCAAATAAATCCATACTAGTTACACAGTAACTTTACCTCACTGCCCAGGTCACATACAGCATTCATAAAATTGCTACATATCTGTATTCTTAGATCATTACATAGCAGTTCCATGATGGTCACAGCATTTTCACTTCAAGCATTTTTAAAAAAAAGTTCCAATGACTTCATACCACAACTTGGTATGTAACCTGAATTATGAAATTTTAAAAATATGATTCCTTAGCTTGAGCAAATACATTATTAGGGAACACTTAATCATGCTAAGGAGTAAAGTACTGTTTATGGAGTAATTGTATCTGCTCTGATTAAGTCATAAGTCATTTACACAGCTGACCTGAAATCTACTTCAGAGTCAAAACCTTATGACAGGTTTCAGAGTAACAGCCGTGTTAGTCTGTATCCTCAAAAAGAAAAGGAGTACTTGTGGCACCTTAGAGACTAACAAATTTATTTGAGCATAAACTTTCGTGAGCTACAGCTCACTTCATTGGATGCATGCAGTGGAAAATACAGTGGGGAGATTAATATACACAGAGAACGTGAAACAAAGGGTGTTACCATACACACTGTACGGAGAGTGATCAGGTAAGGTGAGCTCTTGTCAGCAGGAGAGCGGGGGTGGGGGGTGGGGTAACCTTTTGTAGTGATAATCAAGGTGGGCCATTTCCAGTAGTTGACAAGAACGTCTGAGGAACAGCGGGGTGCGGTGTGGAATAAACATGGGGAAATAGTTTTACTTTGTGTAATGACCCATCCACTCCCACTCTTTATTCAAGCCTAAGTTAATTGTTTGCAAATTAATTCCAATTCAGCAGTCTCTCATTGGAGTCTGTTTTTGAAGTTTTTTTGTTGAAGAATTGCCACTTTTAGGTCTGTAATCGCGTGACCAGAGAGACTGAAGTGTTCTCCAACTGGTTTTTGAATGGTTTCAGAGTAACAGCCGTGTTAGTCTGTATTCGCAAAAAGAAAAGGAGTACTTGTGGCACCTTAGAGACTAACCAATTTATTTGAGCATGAGCTTTCGTGAGCTACAGCTCACTTCATCGGAACATCGATGAAGTGAGCTGTAGCTCACGAAAGCTCATGCTCAAATAAATTGGTTAGTCTCTAAGGTGCCACAAGTACTCCTTTTCTTTTTGGTTTTTGAATGTTCTAATTCTTGACGTCTGATTTGTTTGAGGAAAGACTCATGAGCCTCCTTTTGACACATGATGCGTGAAGCTGCTACGTACCGGATGTACATTTTTAAAACATACTTTGGTGACTAAAAGGTTTCCTTCATTTCCTCTTCCTCCCCACAATCCTCTGCATTTTTTAATAAGACATGTACTAGTTTTCTGTAATACAATAATGCTTCAGAGATACAGGTTGACAGGCCTGAGTTCAGGGGAAAATTTGGATAACTCCATGAGCCAACTCTCTTTTCTGGTGGTTTCTACCTTGTGTTTCTAGGAAAGGGAAACATTTGCCCCACCTCTCAGTAGATGAACCACTTTGAGTGTATTTGCATTTCCTTACTTTCTTCCTTCCCCCGTTGTGTGGAAAGGGATAATTTGCACCGTGATTTTTTATTTTTTTTTTTAGCTTTTGTAACTCAGGCTTCCCCCCCAACACACACACTTTTAAATATTTCATTGTTTTCTTTAATATAGTAACAACATCTGATATTTCAATATCAATAGCAACATCATATTAGCCATGTAACACTGCAAAGAGAGAAATGCATCTCTGCTATCAATAGGGTTCATAATTCATAACTAATCCACATTTTCTTTGCCTTATTAGCTCCTGTACTATGATATTATATCAATGCAAGGCAGGAAGGAGCTCCCTAATTGGTAGTATTGATAGAATGCTATTTAGATCTACAGATGTAATAAACAATCAGCCAAATATTTAAGAAAAAATGCATGAAGGAAATTACAAATTCAAACTAGAACTGTCAAACTGTGACTATCAATATTTGCATTTCAATAACTTCATGTGAACGGCTGCGTGCAATCTGCTAGGACATGGGCTGAGTGGAATTCAGTCAGAGACTCATTTCTTAATGACCTAACTTCTCAGTCTGTAAATATCAGAAGTATCTTTTGTTTATGTTGGTCACAAACTGGCATTAAAACATCCTTAGAGGAAGTTTGTTAATCCCTCAAAAATCTTATAAAAATATGTAATATGTGGATAATTTTAAGTTACAGAGACCTTTGCTCTAATAAACCTAGCCACTGAAAAGTTGTGTTAGCAGAACTAAATTTCTTGATATTGGGAATTGTTTAGCTTTATTATTATTGCTGTCCTGAACAAAAAATGGAGTACATTAAAAAAAAAAAAAAAACTTACTTCATTATCTGTGGACTCATGAAGGCCAGAATATCAGCTGCAACTTTCAGAATGGCAACTTTAATCAATAAAAATCTAAACGTTTGCCACAGAGGGTAAAGCAGAGATGGTTTCTGGAAACTTGCTTTCTCTGATATCACCCCTTTGTCACAAGGAGCCTGTCAATTTACAAAAGAGACACACACAATAAAGACAAAGATTTTAACACAAAAATGCAGAGTGAACATTTCAGTCCCCGGAAAAATCATGGAGCAGGTCCTCAAGGAATCAATCCTGAAGCACTTGCATGAGAGGAAAGTGATCAGGAACAGTCAGCATGGATTCACCAAGGGAAGGTCATGTCTGACTAATCTAATCGCCTTCTATGATGAGATTACTGGTTCTGTGGATGAAGGGAAAGCAGTGGATGTATTGTATCTTGACTTCAGCAAAGCTTTTGACACGGTCTCACACAGTATTCTTGTCAGCAAGTTAAAGAAGTATGGGCTGGATGAATGCACTATAAGGTGGGTAGAAAGTTGGCTAGATTGTCGGGCTCAACGGGTAGTGATCAATGGCTCCATGTCTAGTTGGCAGCCGGTGTCAAGTGGAGTGCCCCAGGGGTCGGTCCTGGGGCTGGTGTTGTTCAATATCTTCATAAATGATCTGGAGGATGGTGTGGATTGCACTCTCAGCAAATTTGCGGATGATACTAAACTGGGAGGAGTGGTAGACACGCTGGAGGGCAGGGATAGGATACAGAGGGACTTAGACAAATTGGAGGATTGGGCCAAAAGAAATCTGATGAGGTTCAATAAGGATAAGTGCAGGGTCCTGCACTTAGGACGGAAGAACCCAATGCACAGCTACAGACTAGGGACCGAATGGCTAGGCAGCAGTTCTGCGGAAAAGGACCTAGGGGTGACAGTGGACGAGAAGCTGGATATGAGTCAGCAGTGTGCCCTTGTTGCCAAGAAGGCCAATGGCATTTTGGGATGTATAAGTAGGGGCATAGCGAGCAGATCGAGGGACGTGATCATCCCCCTCTATTCGACATTGGTGAGGCCTCATCTGGAGTACTGTGTCCAGTTTTGGGCCCCACACTACAAGAAGGATGTGGGTAAATTGGAAAGAGTCCAGCGAAGGGCAACAAAAATGATTAGGGGTCTGGAACACATGACTTATGAGGAGAGGCTGAGGGAACTGGGATTGTTTAGTCTGCAGAAGAGAAGAATGAGGGGGGATTTGATAGCTGCTTTCAACTACCTGAGAGGTGGTTCCAGAGAGGATGGTTCTAGACTATTCTCAGTGGTGGAAGAGGACAGGACAAGGAGCAATGGTCTCAAGTTGCAGTGGGGGAGGTTTAGGTTGGATATTAGGAAAAACTTTTTCACTAGGACACCACTTCCGGGCTTCGATCTGTTGGTGGGGGTATTCACATACTTTTGATTGATCAGAACAACAGAATGCCTTTTCTGGGAGCTGAAACATTTTATTTTCATAGTCATCTTTCCCGGACCCCTTTGACACAGTCTGCGGACCTCCAGGGACCCGCAGACCACAGGTTGAAAATCACTGGCTTAGAGCAAGACTCTTTACCATTGCTAATGGGAGCTAAACATATACACTGAAGCACTTTTGTCTGGTATTCTGAACTAGTGCACCCATCAAGGGAGGGCAGACTATATGGAAATCTATGGCGTGCTTGTGAAGATATTTGATATAAATCATTGCAAGAATTTAATTAAGTTTTGACAAGGATTTTTCGGGATGCCTAATATAAATTTAGAAAAAGGTAAGGGTTAGTGATGTTACTTATTGCTATCACCGTTACCTTTAATCCTTTTGTTGCCTTTAAGAGTTCCTTCCTCCAATGCTTTTCAAAGTTGGGACATACAGCATATGGAGAGTCACTTTCATTCAGTTCAAACAGGTCCTCTCTTTCCAATGGTTTCTTGTAGCCTAAAGTTATTATTCTGAAAGGAAAATACATACTTTAATAAGTGAACTATTACAAGAAACACAAAGCAGCCAAATCAAACAGGAATCCTAACTGAGAAGCTTTATACACATAATATAATACTTATAAATGAGCTCTACATTCACAATAATAAATAATGTATAATATAAAAGGCAAAATTGTGGAACGCACCTACAGTCAACTTGACTATACTGAAACTATAGTTATAGTAAACAAGGGCCCAATCCAAAATCCCCAGACCTGAACACCCTCAATGAGGAAAACCTGCACTTCAGCATTCACCTGTAGTTATGAAGTTAAGGAGAATAAAAATTTCTAGTTATTTCAACAGCAAATCTGGTTAGTGACTGTCCATTTATTATGATAATCTACACAGAAAATACAATGTGGAGTCCTTGTGGCACCTTAGAGACTAACAAATTTATTTGGGTATAAGCTTTCGTGGGCTAGAACCCACTTCATCAGATGCATAGAGTGGAAAATACAATAGCAGGTATAAATACACAGCACATGAAAATATGGGAGTTGCCTTACCAAGTGGGAGGTCAGTCTAACGAGACAATTCCATTAACAGTAGGATACCAAGGGAGGAAAAATCACTTTTGTAGTGGTAATGAGAGTGGCCCATTTCAAACAGTTGACAAGAAGGTGTGAGTAACAGTAGGGGGAAATTAGTACAGGGAAAAATTAGGTTTTGTAATGACCCAACCACTCCTAGTCTTTATTCAGGCCTAATTTGATGGTGTCCAGTTTGCAAATTAATTCCAGTTCTGCAGTTTCACATTGGAGTCTGTTTTTCTTTATAATAGGATTCCACCCTACTGTGACTCATCCTTAACCAGGGTACGCAGGGACAAACAGAAACTGGGTTTTAGTATAAGTCTACAATAAGCTTACAATAGATCTTGAGTTGTTTAAATTTGGGGCCATATTATACCCTTTGCTGTTAGAAACAGAAGAGCTAAAATGGATGTAAATAATGGTCATAATCATTCTGAACCCACAGGAATCCCCCTCCCCCCAAAGAACAATGAAAGGAACCTGTAGGTTTTGGGAGTATGAAAGGAACCTGTAGGTTTTGGGAGGGGGCAGAGCAACCAAATCTGCAAAAATTAATGCTGATGTCAAAGTCAATTAATTTTTTAAGAAAGTTCCAAAAGTTTGGAAAGCAACAGATATGAAACAACCAGATGTCACTGCATAGGTCTACTGGGGTCCCAACATGGCAAGATTAAGGCATACATACTCTAAGTCATTGCTTAGAGTCCCAACCCCTGGAGTCAGGTGGTAAGATCAGAATTTCACCATTCATTTTACAAAAAAAAAAAAAGGGTTCTAGACCTCAGGGATTCAAAGAAAATTTTAAAATGTGACCTGAGTATAATGGTACCTGTCTGACTCAGGGGAGAACCTGAAACAATACCTCTACGAGCAGTGAACTGCCCCACTGGTCTCAATTCTGAATCCTGGTGCTCCCCCAAAAGACAGAGGAGTCCACTGAAGGGCCCAATGTGGGTTGTGCCTAAAGCCCCAGATTGCCTTAATCTCATTCTGGAAGCATGATGAAATGTTATGAGTTAGTTATATAATAATCAGTTTGAGATTTCCCAGTTCAGACTGCAGAAGCCTAATATTACTTAATCCCTAAGTGTCCTTTACTGGAGAGACAAGGTGGGTGAGGCATTATCTTTTATTGGACCAACTTCTGTTAGTCAGAGACAAGCTTTCGAGCCACACAGAGCTCTTCTTCAGGTCTGGGAAAGGAACTCCTAGCATCACAGCAAAATTGCAAGGTGGAACAGATACAGACAAACAGCTTAAACTCCCTTATAGCTTTCCACACTCTCTGGAACACTCTCACACTAGAATCAACTTCCTGTTCACCATCATCATCTTAAACAATGGAACCATTCAGATAATCATATAAAAGAAACCCACAGACCATCACACCCACCTTCATAGATCCAGTAATCACCCCAAACACACCAATAAATTTGTTATCTACAGCCAGGCACTCAGACACCACAGTGTTGGATCATATTAAAGAAGTTCTGTATTAAAATCACAAATGAGTTTGATTCCCCATAGCTTAAATTCCAGGGTATTACTAATTAAGAGGTCTCTTGGTTTTTGGTACTGTTTTTCTCCCTCTATGTGTGAAACTTGCAAGCTGCTAATTGCGTTAGTACATTCTAAGACAGAGTCTGTTCTCAAAGCAATTCACAGAGAGAGAGACTCAAAGCAATACTCTAACAACAGAAATAGCATCCAGAGACTCCCCGCCCTTTTGTTGTATTAACAATTGTGATTAAAATAGAGATATGTATGTGGATGGATGCGTGGTGTGGATAATAACTGAATGATCAGGGAGGTGCCAGCCTAAGAATCCAGTGTCCATCGGCTGAAGAAGGCGTCAAGTGGAAATAACCAGAGGACCCCCGGAGGGCAGACTGGAATCCACCCAACAGCCTCAAGAATGGGAGAACCAAAGTGAGCTGTAGCTCACGAAAGCTTATGCTCAAATAAATTGGTTAGTCTCTAAGGTGCACAAGTACTCCTTTTCTTTTTGCGAATACAGACTAACACCGCTGTTACTCTGAAACCTGTCAAAGAACAAGATAACATCTAGCAGCACGGAGCCGTCAGGAATGTGCTATCTGCTGATTGATTCAGCAACAGCATGATGAAGCAATTCCCATAGACTGGCATAGGAAGAAATTCCTATAAAAATAGATTCTAAAAAGTGAGAACTTTGGGGTCTGATTCTGCAAACCAACTTCCAGGAGCATCAGATGAACATCTGACAAGGCCCTGCTCCCTCCTCATGTCCAGGCCACCTGGCCAGTGGCTTGGCATGAGCAACTCTAAGGCTGGTAACTATGATAACAACCTTGCAGAACCTGTGTGTGTGTTTGTATGAATGAATGTGTGAATAAATATGAGATTGAATGGAATGTTATAGCTATAACTAACTGCTTACTATGATTCTTTCTGTATTCACAATAAATGTGGTATTTTGCCTTTTTCCCTTTAATAAGATCCTGCTGGTTTTAATTTATTGGTATAACAACAGAATATGCTCACACGAGAAAGTTACTGATATACACCTTAACACACTTAAAATCGCCTCTGCCAAACAAGGACACTGCACCAGAGGAGTAGATCGCATCATGGAACAGGCCACCCAAATACCCTGAAAGAACCTGCTTCAATACAGAAATAAAACTCCCTCAGATTACACACCCCTAGTCATCACATATCACCCCACACTGGAACCCAGATTGTCTATCATCAAACAACTACAACCCATACTTGATGGGGATCCCATCCTGAAAGAAATCTTTCCTGAATGCCCCCACTTCTGGCTTTCAGATAAACCCCCAACTCAAGCTCATCGTCAAAAGCAAACTCCCCACAGACCAGGACACACCAACTCAAAGCAGCACCAGATGTTGCCAGAACAGCAGATGCAAAACCTACAGACATAGCTCCACTGCTACAATGATCAACACCCCCAATAACACCCCTTTCAAGATCCCGGGATCCTATACATCCCTATCACAACATGCAGTGTACCTCATCCAGCGCACTAAATGCCCCAACAACAACTATGTGGGTGAAACCAGACAATCACTACACTCTCAAATGAACTAACACAGGAAAATGATAAAAGACAAAATCACCACCTCTGGATGAACACTTTTCACAAATTTCAGAGTAACAGCCGTGTTAGTCTGTATTCACAAAAAGAAAAGGAGTACTTGTGGCACCTTAGAGACTAACCAATTTATTTGAGCATAAGCTTTCGCGATGAAGTGAGCTGTAGCTCACGAAAGCTTATGCTCAAATAAATTGGTTAGTCTCTAAGGTGCCACAAGTACTCCTTTTCTTTTTTACTTTTCACAAAGCGACATTTGACCTCTCAGTTCCCATCCTTAAAGGAAAGCTCCACAACACTTTCAAAAGATGAGCCTGGGAGCTTAAATTCATTACTCTGCTAGGCACAAAAAATAATGGACTGATCAGACACGCTGGATTTATGGCTTATTACGGGGTGGCCCAACTGTGGCTCACGAGCCGCATGCAGTTCTTTTACAGTTAAAGTGCGGCTTTCGGAGACCTCCACGCCCCCTCATCCCATTCTCCACCTACCAGGCCCGGGGGGTGGAGGCGGGGGGGCGAGGAGGGAAAGGGGAAGCTCTGGAACTCTGCTTTGCAGTGGAGTGGTGGGGTAGGGGCTTCTGCCCAGTGAGGAGAGGGATGTTGGGTCTTCAGCCCCACAGGGCACACCTGCCGGGGCTTGGGGCTTCAGCAGGAGCAGGGCCAAGTGAGCTGGAAACATGCCAGGGGTGGAGAGGGGGCTCCAGCTTGCTCGGATGGTCCCTGGCAGCTGGGGTGACAGCGGGCTGCCCCCCACCTAGGCTCTGCTGCCAGGGACAGGGGCCGAGTGAGCCAGAACCCCCCCTGTACTTCCCGGCATGTTCGGCTCCTGTCCCTGGCAGCAGAGTCAGGGCAAGGTGTAGGCTGCCACTGCCTCCCAGCCAGGCTCTCTCTGGCAGAAATGGTTCCGTCCCACTCCCCACCTGGCTGCCAGAGAGAGCAGATGAATATGCTGGTGGGGAGATGTAGGGAGAGAAGGACAGAGCTTCCCCCCGCAGGTAACCTGGTGCGGGGGAGACTGTGTCAGCCCTGGACTGGGCGCAGGGTGGGAAGTCACTGGGCAGAGGAGACATGTGGGGCGGTCATGTGTCCTCCCCTTTAGATTGTGCCCCACCAGTATGGGGAGGCACAAGTCATCTATGCCCACCTTGTCTCTCTAATATCCTGGGACCAAGAAGGCTGCAACTACACTTTACTGGAGAGTAATACATGATTTATTTAGAACGTTATCTAATAAAACAACATTTTAAATAAGTCTTTTAGAGCTCTCCAATAAGGACACTTAAGTTTAAATAATATTGATTGCAACAAGTTGTGTAGTATTTATGTTACAGAAATCCTAAGGAGCTCCCTCAAGGAGATTATAGTATATATGCGTGTATACAGAGCACATGGATAACCTTTTCCATCACCAAGTTTTGCACAGACAGACAAGAAAATCAAAACCTTAAACAAAATTTGAACCTTTCTATTTTTGAAGAAAGTTGTGACCTTAATATTCATAAGTCAATGTCTGTAATAAAAGTGATGAGTTCTAAATTTTATGCAAATTGTGCGAGAACTGGAAACTTTAACTTGCAACACGACTGTATTCAAGACCATGGATTAAATCCTGGGTCCACTGAAATCAATGACAAAACTCTAACTTTAATGGAGTTAGGTTTTCACCATATAATGTGAAAGTTTGAAAATTAGGCTAAGTAAAAAAAGAATCAGATACTAAAGTTTAAGAATATTACAATAGTAATGTAGAACAAAGCAAAAAACAGCTGTTACTTGTAAACTGACTTTAATAATATTTCTCTTTCTCAGGACTATAGGCTTACACTATACACTTACGTGCCTCACTGTTTATTTTGACTGACAGTATTTCCAGACTAAGCACGTGATGCAGAAGAAGTGCTAATAATGAGTAATGGTCAGGAGACAAAACGTGAAATTGCTTGAAATATCCTACAGAATGTTAAATGACAATAGGCAGTCCAACCTGAAGTAGCTGAGCTTTCTGTTCATACGAAGGTATGCTATACCTAAGGAGGAGAGGGGTTTTTAATCACTTGTTTAAATGACATGACTTGGAGGGAAGGAGAGAACATACATTAAAGAAGAATACACAGAAAATTAGTCATAACTGATCAACAGGTTACTTGACTAATTTTCTGTAGGTCACACCAAAATATTTACTCTGGTAATTGTATTACCACACACAACACTGGGAAACATACATGTGTATTTTCTAATGAAGGGGATCTTGTGCATAGCTCCCACTGACTTAGAGCATTTTATAATTGTTAATTAAAGTGCTAAACATTATCTGTTTGTTATTAGTAAGAATCAGGCAATCTAAAACATTAGTATGTGCCTACAACTACAGGACCAGTACATTAGGAAGTAACTGTTAAGAAGTGACTTGTAGGAATTGCAAACTGTGGCTTTAGAACACTGTTTTAATAGCACACTCATTCTGGATTAAAATGCAAGGTTGCATAAAGGGATGGAATGCATGTATGACTTGTGCCTAAACCAACTGAGCATAAGCACTAATAAATAACTTTAATTCTCACCTGCTATACCAGGAATATGTTATCTTACTGAAGAAGGAAGCATTTTCTTCAGGACTGCATTTCTATTAATAAAAATAAACCAAACACAATTCATGTTATTTGAAAGGCAGAGGAAAATGAATCTGTACTTCACATTTTTCCTTAGAAACTTAAGCATTAAGAGATCCATTCTCCCCTGGATCAATGTTAATGTGAGTTAAATTTATATATCTCAGATAGTAAACTCCAAGTCTAGTACACAAAGTTGTAACTAAAAATAAATTTTCTTCATATTTAATATTCCAGTGACATAACCTATATTTTCTAGGTAACACAGAAAACCTAGACCTAAATACTAGAATTTACTGCTATGATTTTCTCCTCATCATGATCAAGGGCCACAACTATCTCCCTTCTCTCTTTAACACAGAAGACACATGGAATGAGAGAGAGGTTTAAGGCTACTTGATTCAATGGGCACAACTCATCTCCAGTGGAAAGTGGATGTAAAATGCTACCATTTTACATTGATCTGGTAGTGGTTTTTTACCCACTTTGCACTGATGTAAACAGCTACAGCAACAGTGAATCAGGCCTAAAATAAGTAAAACTACCTTAAAATTTCTAAAACTAAAAATTGTTGCCTTACTATGTGGCCAACTGAACTATCAGGGGAAAATAAATTAAACATCATCTAGTAAAAAAAAGGCATTACTCACCAGTTTATCAAATAATAAATGAAATATTTAAGAATCTAACTAGAAATAAATTAAATGATATAATTGCTCAGATAAATGTGTACAGATATAGTGTGTCCTCCTGGTTAACAAAAAGAAGCTCCAAATTTAGTGTAAAGGCTATATTTAGTTGCAAATCAACATGTTTTAATGGTTACCAACCAATGAGGAAACAACCTTTCTTTAGGAAAATAACTAAAAAATACCAATGCAAAACAAGATTAAAATCAGTTACTTAAATGAAGATTTCTTTCTTGCTGATTTAAATTATGATTAAAATCTGTGAATGGATGTTCATCCCTTGCCTCCCCATTAATTCAAAGGGTGTATGTTGGGACAAGTTTACAGCACTGTCTCAGACTAGTCACTCACATTTTCACTTCCTGACACTGACCCTATTTAAAAGCATTAATCTAAAATCTAATCAATCTAAAAGTACTTTTAGATATTACACCTGTTCCAGAGTTCCCCTGACAATCTTTCTGCTTTTAGAAGCACATTTTCCTATTTTAGTATTTTTCACTGTATTAAAGCCTCAAAACAATGGGAATCACTATTTTTGCAGTTATAATAATATTTGGTATTACTTTCACTGCTAGTTATTAAAAAATCTGATTTTTGTTCAGTTTTATTATACAGCTTTACCATCTTGTTACATAGACTGGTTTCCCATTCCTAGCTCATGGAGGTGCTCTTCAATGAGCCAAGTGATATGGTGACTGAGCAACAAGATACCTTTTAAGTCCTATGACTTGTTTTGAATTTTTAAAATTAGGGAAATTTTCCAATTTGGAGAATGAGGAGAGGGAAATCTGAAGTGAAGGCACTTTCTGATGATGATGTTGATGATTAAGAAAATGTTTCTTTGCTAATTTTTAATTTGTAGTATATACAGACCCTTAATGGGGTTGACTGAGTCTCCAAAGTTGCAGTCCAATCAAGAAAATCATTGCTCAATTGAAAATTTCTAAAAATATTTTATCCAGAGGCAACAGCACTTTTTACTAAGGATACAGGACATATTTTGAGTGCAGATGTTACCATAACACTAATGATACAGTGTCATCATCAAGGTAGATTGACTTAAATCATAGATTTTAATCATAATTTAAATCAGCAAGAAAGAAATCTTCATTTAAATAACTGATTTTAATCTTGTTTTGCATTGGTATTTTTTAGTTATTTTCCTAAAGAAAGGTTGCTTCTCATTAACCATTAAAACATGTTGATTTGCAACTAAATATAGCCTTTACACTAAATTTGGAGCTTCTTTTTGTTAACCAGGAGGACACACTATATCTATACACATTTATCTGAGCAATTATATCATTTAATTTATTTTTATTTAGATTCTTAAATCTTTCATTTATTATTTGATAAACTGGTGAGTGATGCCTTTTTTTTTTTTACTGGATGATGTTAATTTTTTTTCCGTATGTGACTTGTGTCAAGCTGGAAATTCAAATTTAATCAGAAATGCACAAAAATGCACCATTTAAAATGTTTCAATTGTTAAATAAAATTACTTTAACTGTGCTGGATAAATAAGAAAAAAGTTTATCACAGTTTATCAAAACATGCTTGCCATTTAAAACTAAATGATTTCTTAAACAATCAAACAAAGTAGTATCTGTAGTCAGTGAATTGAACTGACCACATCCTTCAAGATTTTAGAACCACTAGATCTCATCCTCATGCATTTAGTTTTTATTCAAAGACTGGAAGAGGAAAACAGGCCTTCCATTTTCCCAGTTGGTTTCTTAACTTTTTACGTGAACTAGTCATTGAACTTAACAGGTTGATTAAAGTGAAATAAGGAAAATGTACTCTTTGCCCCTGAAAATAAAAAAGCAACTGCTGTCAAAAGCTGGTTAGCTTCACAAACTCTGGTTGCAGGTGCTTATCCAGTGACTTACATCATGCCAATGGTTTGGTTTTCTTTACAATTTGGCAGCCAACAGGTATTGCTTATTTTTTTAATTTAATTTAAATTATTGTAATGTATTATAATATGTTTTTTAGGCCATAAACACATGCATTAATTTCACACCAGTCTCTCACTTTGATCCAAACTACAGCCTGCAAATCCTTTTACATGTGTACCACTCAGGCCCTGATACTGTAATTCTAATCTAAGAGCATAAACTGCTGGGGTTGTTTTTTTTTTCATATTAAAATATCAACTCAGGTCCCATTGTGTTAGGCACTGTTCAAATATGTAGTGAGAGACCATCTCTGGCGAAAAGGCTTACAATTATACAGACAACACAGAAAAGGAATGGGAAGGGAAAGATAAGCACAGAAACAAAGCGTCCTCTTGTTGGTTTCTCTTACTCTGAAATCAGTTTACATTCTGTTCATGGAATTTTACTTATTCTAATACTAGCCTGAGGGAGGCACAAAAGAGAATGCAAAGGAGAGGAAAGAAAATGCATAGGACAGGGAGAATCCTAAAAAGAGTGATAGCAGGAAAGATTTACCAAAGTGGAGGAAGCAGGAAGTGCAAGGTTCCTAGCATGTTTTTTTTTTTTTTTTTAGGGGGCAGGGGTGTAAACTGGGGAGGGATGTTACAAGGCCTCCCAAAGAAAGGTGATGTGAGACTCACTTGGAGTTATCCGAGTGAAGGGAGCGAGATGTGCAAGATACCTCGGATAAACAACGGCCAGAAGAAAGGGGATGCGAGACTCACTGGGACCTGATGCAGTCCTGACCCCTATTTCCAAGACGGTATATTTACCTAACGCCACATTTTAAAGAGCCCTCAGAAGACTGCCCCTATCCCGCAATCACCTTCCTCCCCCCAAATCCTTTAACTCTTGATTAGGACCTTTTTACTTCCGCGCACTGCCCCTCCCTGGTTTTGCCTCATATAACGACCAGGTTTCCATTAAAAAACAAGGGGACCAAGAAGCCCGGGATCCTGCCCCCAGCAGTGATCGCATGGAACTGCTCCGGGGAAACCGCTGGACCGAGCCCCACCAAGCCAGCCATTAGGTGACTTTAGCCTGGGCCAGGCACAGACCTGGTGCAGGCAGCGGGAGCGGCGGGTCTGTGCGCTGTACACGGCTGGCGGGGGAGCGACCGGAGGGGGCCCAGCACGGGCCAGGCGGCCCTAGCACAAGCGCCCCTGCCCGCTGCCACGCCCCATCCCTGCCGGGCTGCACGGGCAGAGCGGGGCTCAGTCCCCAGCCGGGCTCTCCACGGAACCGTCGCGCCCGGCGGCTGCGGCCGGGACCCCTCTCCAACCCAGCGGGGCCGGGTTACCTTCTGGCTGAGCGGAGGGAGGAGCTCGTAGGAGCCGCCCCCTCGCCCGCGCAGGGCGGCCGGCATGATCCGAGCGCGTCCTGCAGCCCCGCGGGGCGCCTGCCGTCAGGGGCTCCGCAGCCGCTCGGGGTGGCTCTGGATGCGGGGCAGGGCGGTAGCAGCCGCCGCCAGGGCTTGGCTGAGTGACAGCCAAGGGGCACCCAGTGCCGAGGGCAGCTCGGGGAGCCTGGGAGGAGCTGGCCCGTAGGCACCACCCACCTCCGCGTCTTGGCCCCAGCCCAGGCGCAAGGCCGTCGCCGCACTCTGCCCGCAAGCGACGGCAGGGTCGGGTCACGGGGGGGGGGGAAGCAACCCCCGCCTGGTCCTGCGTCCCCAGGGCTTAGAGGCAGAGGCCAGAGCCCCTTGGAGGGAATGGGAGCGCTGCGCCTTAGCAGCGGGTGCCTCTGCCCAGAGCCGCGTGCCGGCTGACTGCGCGGGGGCGAGCACAGGCAGGGGTTAGGGGCTAACATCCCCCCTGGAGGCTTTTCGAGGTAGCGGTCCCGGCTCGAAGAGCAGGGCTCTCCGGTTGCGTTAAAGAGAAGGGTTTTTTATTGGACGCTGTGGGACACAGGTTAGGCTGGGGCCGGGGTCGCAGCTGACCGCCAGGGCAGGGTTTCCTCCTGCTCATGTTCGCCCTTCAGGCTTTCCCAGGGCCTAATTCTGACCCCCTGCTTTTTTGTGTGGACTAGTATCTTATTCCCCAGTCTCACAGGGACTTACTACTCAAGGTTGGGAAGGGGGCAGAAGTACGCCTGTAATACCTCTAATGGCTCCTTCAGCGTGTGCTTTGGAGGATCCTCCCCATTCTCCCTCTACATTTTTGGGGGGCAGGGAGAGATTCACCAGGGACGCTCCTTGGTCCCCTTATCTTTGGGTAATCTAATCAGCAAACATAAATTCCACTACCAGCAGCGTGCTGAAAACGAACAGATCTACCTCTCTACTCCAGGCTGTCTTCTTCTATCCAAACTAAAATCTCAGCTTGTCTCTCATATCTCCTTGGGGATGCTTAGTGTTCAGCTCAAGCTCAGCATAGCTGAAACAGAGTATTACTTTTTCTGTCAAGCCTTCCCCCATCTTCTTTCTCAATTACTGTAGCCAACACCACCATCCTGGCAGTTACTCAGACCTGTAACCTGGGTGTCATTTTCAACTGGGACCTCGCTCTAGATCCTCACACCCCTGCCACATGTAAAACATCTAAGATACTACCATTCATCCACACAGCTAAATCACTTGTTCAAGCTTTCTTCATCTCCCGTCTTGATCACTGGTGCATTTTCACTGGCCTTGACAAATACAACTTGCCCTACTCATGTCCATTCAGACTGCTGCTGCTGCAAAGATCATTTTCCTAGCCTGTCACTTTGATCATGTCACCCCTCTCTTTGAATCCCTCCACTGGCTCCCCCTTTTGTATCACATCAAACAAGCTGCTTGTCTTCACTTTCCCCACCCTATCATCTCTCATTCACTATCAAGATGACAATCACACCTCCAGTCAGCCCATGATGCCAGCCTATGCTGCTCACTTGTTAAATTTTCTAACATGTACCTTTATGCTTTCTCTCATGCTGCCCCTTGTGCTTAGGAGAAGCTCCCCATAAACATTGGCAAACCAACCTCCTTGTCCCACTTCCGATTCCTCCCTAGAGCTCTCCTTTGCTACAAAAAACTTGACAATGTTGGAGTGCTGAGACCACTGCCGGTCATGCTGTGCAATATTTTCTCCTTTTACTCCCCGTCTGGACTCCCCCATGTGTATTCTCTTGTCTTATACTTAGATTGTAGGCTCTTTGGGTAAAGGACCATCTTTTGTTCTGTTTGTACAACACCTAGCACAATGGGATCCTAATCCATAACTGGAGCTATTAGGCTCGACACTAAAATAAGTAATAATGTATTCCTCCATGCTGGAACCCTTTACTTTGCTGCCTGCTGTCACCTGTCACATAGCATAGGCTGCTCTAAAATGACAGAAAGGGCTTTGATACAGAGACCTTGGGCCCAACTTTCTGATCTTATGAGCAGTATGTGGTTTAAAACCCGAGGGGCTGAAGGTGGGGACAAAGTTGGCCTTATGAGACTTGAGAATAGTTTTATCTCATAAAGCTCTTCAAAATGTTTGCATGCTATTGGCTCTCTGCAAACAAGTAACAATAACAGCATGCTAGCTTGCACACAAATGAACAAGCTGAGTAATAATGGTCACTAGCTGGTAGTATTGCAGTCTCGGGAGACTGAAGTTACCCAGGCCCAATGCATTAGCTGATTGCAATTCCATTTTTGGAACCACCTGAAAATAAAATAAAGCTGTCCACGATCTTGGTCTTCACAGATATGGATAACTGGAATCTTCACAGATATGGATAACTGGAATCTGATCCAAGTCGTGCCCTACTTCAGCTCCAAGCTCTGCCCTTAATCCCCTGCATGTTCCCCTACCTCATTGGATCTCCCTTTAGACCCATCCTTCCATGCCCCCCCCCCACTCTCCTATCCCATTCCACTTTTAAAAGTTTGAAAATGTAAAGATTTATGGGCATGATTCTCAGTTACACTAAGGCCCTTTTATCCCATCCTGACAATGCAGAAAGGCCAAAGTGGGTGTAAGTTACATTTACACTCCCTTTAAGGTCCTTTTAAGGTCCAGTAACATTCCCAGAGTTATGTAAACAGGTCTTGGTATAAATGAAAATCAGGCCCCTATACCTATAAATATGCATAGATGGTTCATGTTTCCTTAACTAGTGACTTCCTAGATTTTTAGTAATTGTGTTGATGAGAAACATAATTGAGTAAACTTAAATGTAAACCAAGATAATTTTTGGAGTAGGAATTTTTCCAGTCTATGAATTATGACTCAAGACAGAACTGTTTAATCTTAAGTAATGTTCTCTCCACTTAACCAAGATAAGTGAAGTTATACTTTGCACACAGTGTTTTGTGCTGGATGCATTGTTTTCCTTATGTGTATACTAAATAAGATATAATGGAAATTTTCTGCTTTACAATACATATAATGCACTGACTCAAACAGTTCTCAAACAGAATTCTTTTCCCTACTTCATTGATTCTAACAATCCTAAATGCAGATTGTGTAGCATACACAGCTCAAGGACACAGAATAGTTGTATTAATTTTCCATTGGGTCTATCTTGTCTGGCAGTAGCATATCTGGTAGTTCTGGTTAAACGGACATTGGCAGGTTACAGGTAGCATCCTTAAAAAACAAGTTTACTTACCGGTGATATATGATAAAATAGAAATATTTACAACTCTCAATTTTCTCTTCATCTATACTGTTTACTCTTTCCATCTCATTCAATTTGGGTACTAGAAATAATCAATTCTAATCAAGTTGAAAATGGTTTCTTTGCATTAATAAAATGTTACACTATTTGCTTCACAAACAATCCAAAGTGATATTTACATCTAAATGAACTGGGTCAATTAAAAAGAGAAGATTAAAAAAAAACTAATAGTAATAGAAATATTAACAGTCTACATTGAGCCTAAACTTTTTGTAACAGAAAAATTTCAAAACAAAGTCATCCTTTCCACTCAATAGGATTATAGTATTATTTCTGTTGCCCTTTTCTTGCACAAAACCACAGCACTGTACATTTCTCTTTGTTACTGTAATGAGTTATACTTTGTTGCAAATATAAGCAAGGCAGTGAAAAATAGGAAAATTATTTCTTCTTGCATTATTCTGATTTTTCACAGTTTTGTGACAGTGATGTTTTCCCTTTGTTAAATAGTGGAATAGTTGTCTTCTTTTCATACAATTTCTGTAGTAATTCACTTGTCTTGCTGTTGGGTTAGAAATTAGCATTCCAGTAAAAGATTAAAAGCTACTCACAGAGGCAATAACAACACGTAGGTGACCTTTTGACCACTGACACAAAGCTTGCATTCCTGATTTTAAAGCAAGCAAATAATATACAGAAAGATAAATTTATGGAAGGGTGACATCTTTTTTGTGGGTGCAAATCACACCCACAAAATGTGCATATAATCTTAATTATTAGTACATATAAGTAACCATGGGCACAAATCACATAGCTACAAGTGAAATGACTCAGATTTCCGCCCCAAATTATTTCGCAAATCTTAACAGTACCAATAACTATGGAAGGCCAGATCTTAGCCCAGCTGAAAATATACCCTTGGTAGGAAAATTAAGTCAAAGCAGATTCTGACACCTGAAAAAATCTGTTACCGTTTTTGATACTTTAGCCCAGGGATCAGCAACCTTTGACAGGCGGCCGATCAGGGAAATCCGCTCGCGGGCCGGGACTGTTTGTTTACCTGCAGTGTCTGCAGGTTTGGCCAACTGCAGCTCCCACTGGCCGCGGTTTGCCATTCCAGGCCAAAGGGGGCTGCAGGAAGCGGCGTGGCCCGAGGGATGTGCTGATCATTTATACTTGTCTGATCCCTGCCTTAGTCCAAAATAGAGCTAGGATATGAAATCCTGAATCTTTAATACTGCTCAGCTTGAACAATTCTTGTAAAGCTACCCTGCAGATTTCTTACTCCAACTCACATCTGTAATACTCTTGGCTGACTAAAGTTGAAAACTTCATGTATTAGTGGAATAATAGGTGTCATTGCTTCATGAAAAAATAAGGGAAACAAAAGTGCTTTTGTCCTTTATTAGGAAAAGTTCAACTTTTACAATACTTTTCCTATACCTTTTTTAGAAGGATTTCTTCCTCCAAATATGTTAACTGCAATGTCAGGATACTTTATACATACTACATTTCAAAAATAATAGTCATGAATCTTGTGAATCCATTTTTGTAAAGTGCAAAAATGAGAGACGCTCACTCTCAAATAAAAAGAACAAATAAAAGTGCAATTAAAAAAAAACTGAACTCAGTCACACAGTATTAGTGCCTTTTTTTCTTGACTTTACACTTCCGGTATTTTTGGCCATGTTCTCTTTGTTTTTTTCTGTCATTTTCCATGCTACTGTCACTATCACTAGTTTGCTGCTCTCTTTTTCTTTTACAAGCATTTTCATTTGCCAGGTATGATTCACAGTCGCTCAGCTGTGGAGGAACCCACTCAAAAGAGCTTTGCCCAGCTTTAAAATCCTCAACAGGATTCATATAGGGTGGCATGGGCAAAACTGAAGATGGTGGTGGAGTCATCTGATAGTAAGGAAGCTGCTGTTCCATTGGACTGTAA